TGTTGCCATAGTGACTTTTCAAGGTTACATTTATATATTTTTTTCAAAAGACTGAGTTCAGTTTTAAGTTTTAATTATTTCAGAAGCATAAATGCTATGAACTTATATCCAAGTTTCAAATAAACTTTAAAGTTTAATGATTTACATTTACTGTACATTTGTGTAACTCTCCTAATTTTGAAAAATTTTTTAGTCATTTTTAAAAAGATTTTTTTTTTAGACAAAGGGAAAGAGAGGGAGAGAAACATCAAGATGTGGTTGCCACTCCCGGACCCCTAGTGGGGACCTGGCCTGCAACCCAGGCATGTGCCCTGATTGGGAATCAAACTGGTGACCCTTTGGTTCACAGGCTGGCACTCAATCCACTGAGCCACACCAGCCAGGGGTAATGTTTCAGCCCTTTTGGTTGAAGATGGAGAATATTAGCTGAAACAAAAAATTAATTCTTTTGGGACAACCTGTTTTCATTTTGTGCTTATTGAAATAGTTAATAAATAACTTCAGGACTGTGGCTATGGCCATTACCAAGTTTGAAAGAAGAAAAAAGATTTGAAAGAAAAATACATTGCAGTTCTAAAAAATTTATTTTTAATTTATTTAATTACAAATTTATAGAGAAGTTAGAATTACAGTAAAAATATGTATTTTTTCTGCATCAGTAATATTAAGCAGTTACACGCAATGCCCCATTCACCCCTTAATTGTATTTCCCACAACAGGGGTTTTTTTTCCTACATACATACAACATAAACATCAAAGTGAGGAAATTTACATTGATACATTTGTAGTACCTAATTCTCAAACTCCATTTTAATTTTTCCAATTGTCCCAATAATGTCCTTTACAGCAAAAGAATCCAGTTCGGAATTGCTACATTTTGTCATCACGTATCTTTAATCTCTTCAGTCTAAAAGTGTCTTCCATCTTTCCTTGACTTTCATGACTCTGACACTTTCGAAGAACATTTTTGTGTCACATAACTCAAGTTTGTCTGATGCTTCCTCATGATTAGATTCATGTTATGCAGACTTGTCAGGGATATAACAAAAGTGATGCTGTATTTCTGTCATTTCACTTTACTAAACGGAACAAATTCTTTACTTATCCCACTGTGATGATATTCACATTGAGCTTTTGATTAAGATGATGTCTCCCCAGTTTTCCACTGTAAATTGCTTTCCCTTTGCAATCTATTAGTATTTTGAGGAAAGTTACGTTGCAATTATACATGTATCCTTTTCCTCACCAAAATTTTAATTTATTCATTATTTAGACATATAAGTATAGACTCAGCAACCCCTATTTTATTGCATTACTGCCTTTTTTTTATTACGATGCTCAAATTTTCCCAGATTTGACTGAGGGGCCCTTTAAGCAGGTTTTTGTGCCCTTTGATATGTTCCCATCATTCTTTGAGAAATTCCTTGTCTTTTACAAAAAAGATATCCCATCTCACATTGTTCCTCTCCTGTCCCACCCCTGAAATCATCCATTTCCCTAAGAGACCCTGGTTCTTTTATTTTTTAGATTTTTTTTTTTTTTGAGAGATAGGAAGGGAGGGAGAAAGATAGGAAGGGAGGGGTAAAGAGGGGGAGAGAAACATTGATGCAAAAGAGAAACATCTACCAGTTGCCTCTTGCACATGCTGGGACCAGAGACCAAACCCACAACCCAGGCATGTTTCCTGACTGGGAATCAAACCAGCAACCATTCATTTTGTGGGATGACGCCCAACAAACTGAGCCATACTGGTTAGGGTAGAACCCTGATTCTTTTAGCAGAACATGGCATTCAGAAGCCAAGACCTGGATACTAACTGTGCTTGTTGTTATTAGCATGTTACTACTCTCAGGTTCTCTCAGTTGAAAACCTAGGGTCTATATCTAATATCTATCTATCTATCCATCCATATATGTAACTATTACTACATATGTATCTATATAGAGAAAGAGCAAGATATGTCTACAAACACATTTACACCTACATGTGTAATCTATCCATATATTGAGAACTATGAGACCTGTTCACATCAATACCTTCAATTCTAATCCAAAAACAAAGGGTTCATTCTAGTGTTTTTCCCTGTGAATATCTGCATCTTTCTTCTCCAATAGTAAGAAACCTGGATCCTATTATCACATATTTTCTTACTTGACTTATAACCCTGTGGTATCCAAGCTCCCATCCCGCCTCTCCCCCACGCCATGCAGATGCCCTCCTCACACTCCTCATGCTCCCCAGGCTCTGATATTTCATGCTGGGCCACACACCCCTGGTCTAGACCTCCTCTTTATCCACTAGAACTTGTCCCCATTCTCGCCCTGTTTGGGCTTTCACTGCTCATGTCGATGGCGCCCCTGTATAGATGTCCTCCTTAACCTGTTTGGCTCCTACCCTTCATGTCATAAACCCCCTCTGCACACTGTGTGGTCACCCAACTCACTCTTCCCAGGCTCTGACACCCTGTACCAAGCTGCTCCTACTATGCGGACTCCCTCTTTGCCTCATGCAAGCCCTCACACCTCATTCCAGGCCACGGGCCAGCACGGCTCCCCCTTGGCTCCCACTGGTGTAGGAACCTACCTTGCTCTGCCTCACCTTCATGACTGACCACTTTATGAAAAGAAGGGAAGAGGAAGAGCCCAAATGACTCCTAAATATGTGTGTTGTGAAGACTATCTTTGCTGAATTTTGTTGAATTAGAGAGATCAGACTGAAGACAATATAATATGGTTTCACATGCTGCTGACTATGTTATATAACTCTGCATGTGGGGAGGCAGTTATATGTAGTTGTGAGGCCCCTTAAGACTTTGCTTGCAACACTATAACCCGCTAAAGTTTGGCTGGAACAAAGACAGCATTTACTGAGGTGAACAGTAAAAGTTACCAAGTAGATCTCCCTTTTAAATCTTACCTTATTTTGCCTCTTCATCTGTTCCTCAGAATAATTTGCTGCACCGTTCAGCCCCAGGGTTCTAAATTAGAGGATCTCAAGACTTCAAGAATAAGGCGTTTGTTCTTTCACTTAAAGTCAATAATGTTAAGTCACTCAATGTGTTTGAGCAGAAAAGCATGAGATTGTGAGGAAACTTTAATTTCTAATTACCAAATTAAAAAAAATCATGAGTACATCATGCATATCTTTAACTCTTCTTAGAATGAACAGCATAAAGAAAAATTGTTTTATGGTTGGGATCCTAATATATAAGCTGGCTTCTTAGTTATTAAAGCACTTACACCATTTATTCAAATCTGCCTCTGTATCACTCTCTGACTTACTGCCCTCACAGTAATCAATTAATAATTACTTCTTTTTATGTTAAGTATAAAGTACAATATAATAAATGTTTTTCTTGTCTGGAGTAACTGGCTTTATCCAAACCAGAAAAGAATGTACATTATTCAAACTTCCTTTTCATATTTAGAGGAAGGACTATTAAGCAAATATTTGAGCATTTGATTTTGGATAAACACTTTCAGCACTGTTTAGTTACTACAGAGCTAAGATATAATGGGACTTTAATTTTCAAATGATGGTCTGGAAAGCCCTGCCAATATACTTCTCAGGAGGTTCAGGCAGTGCTTGGCGTCACCCAACAATAGGCACCAGAGCCTGCTGGGGTCCCAGGTGTCAGCCTTCAACTGCCTCTGGAGGAATGAGAACACAATAGGGTGGGAAGACCAAGGATAGAGGACATGGACACCAGGCAGAGGTCACTGGAAACAGAGAGGGAAGATGGGAGCCCAAAGGAGAAAGGGAGGAGATGGAAGTGAAGGAGGGGACGAAGAGAAAGGAAAGCACTGGAGTTGTCATCTGACATGGTTATCAAAAGATGAGACCGATAATCAGAATACAGGAAATATAAAAAGAATGTTTAAGAAAACATAGGAAGATCTCTAGTGCACAACGATTTGAAGACAAGGGGATATTTTATTGCTTAAATTTTAAATTTCTAAATTTAAAGAAAAAACTTTCTGACCTGTGCCCCAAGGTCAAATCTGAGTAGACTGTGCTTTGTTTTGTCCCATGGCCAAATCTCACACACTACCACTCACATTCAGGGAGCACTTCATGTGAAGCGAATATGAAAGTGAACTTTTATAGAAATTTTAATTTGTGGTTCCATTAAATTATACAAGAAATAGGCAGGGGGGAAACCTTAGGTCACATTGTCTTGAGCTCATATAACATATTTAAAGGCCTTGAATCGACATATTCCTTAGTCTTTACATTATTGTTCTGAGGTAGATAGGAGATGTGTAGTTTAATTCCCATTCTACAAAACCAAAATCAAAATTAAAACAGAATTAAATCATGCATGCACAAACTCTAGAGTAGAATGATTTGCCTCAGCTGTCCTATTTAATCAGGTGTGATAAGATTAAGCTAATTCCATACATTGTTACTGATGAAAATGTTTAAAGTTGTCCAAACTACAAGCAAGTTCCATTTGGCCAAATGCAACCACATTTCAAACTTAATCCCGAGTGCAAAGCTGTAAAGATTATGCCGTTTAGTTCCATTTCTCTTTATTTAACCATCTCCTTTTATGCTGAAGATTACCCCATAACTGCTACTGTCTGTTGACATCATTATTTTTGCTCATAAACTTTGGCTAAAAGGCTGTCCATTCCCATAAGCGAATAGTCAAGAGCTGCAAGGCCAGGGGGCGAAAGACAAATACCATATGATCTCACCTATAAGCGGAACCTAACCAACAATGCAAAGATGCAAGGAAAATATGACCAGCAACACTGAAAGGAAAAGAAATCAACAGAGACAAGAGAGAAGGCGGGGGGCAGGGAAAGGGAAGGGAAGGGGAAAGTCAAGGAACATATAGCAAGGACTCATGGACAAAACCAAAGGGGAAGAGCTGAGGGAGGAAAGGTGGGAGGGGGCAAGGGAAAGAGGTGGGGGGGAGGCAGAGACAAATGTATTTAAAAAGTGAAAAAAAAAAAAAAAAAAAAAAAGAGCTGCAAAGCAGAGCCCTCCTCTCCAGTTTGGCCTCCGCAACGGCAAGCCTAAAGGCACTTCGCAGATCCTGCCCTACTGGGTCTTCTAGTGACATCATACAATTCAGCAGCCAGTAAAGCCTTAGGCACTCTGGGGAGAGAAATATGCAAAAGACACACTTCTTGCCTTTAGGGCACTTCACATGGCTGATAAAATCGTCTGGTTCCTTCTTTTTAAAACTTGCTCGTTAGCTTTTCTGTGGGAATATTATTCTTCTGGTTTGTTTCTTTACACAGTTGTGTTATTTCCTCACTTTTCATTTAAAAGTTGAACAAACTAAACTCTAGAGTATTGCAGATCTGTATTTCCCTCAGAAAAGAATGTGCTCATTTAGCCAATTATTTACTATTCCACTGGCCTTCACAACAGAATAAGCAAGACAAGACTTTCTAAGGTAAATTTTTTACAAGTTATTTAAAGTGATTCTCTGTTTAATAGCCCAACTTGCAGTGAAATCTTCCCCAGAAGTACAGCAGTTTGGCAAAATCCTCAGCCATCACTGAGCCACAGAGCTAACATGACAACATGGGAGGAACAGGACTCTGAGTAGTATGTGTGACTGAAATACAAATAACAAAACATGTGGTTTCCTAGTCTCACAAAGTATTAGAAGACAAAAATGTCAGCAAACTACTTTATAATATGCAAGAGGAATGCCAAAAGTGGCCACTGAATTATGTGTTTTTCCGTAGCCATGCAGCTATCCTGGCACTTTGGTTTTTGTTTTTCAGATTTTCATTCTTTATTGTCTGTAATTTGGCATGAACTGCGAGCTTCTGGTGCTCCTCCAACATGGGATTGAAAAACTGCTGCAGCTGAAAGGACAAAGAGATGGTCAGGGCGATCTAAGTTCTTATTTAGATAAAACAAGACAGAGTTCATGCCAAGTTGCAACATGATTTTGCAAAAGGCCAATGATAGTCAGAATGGATAGGAATATGTGAAGATCACCTACCCTGAAGAATCAGATGTAGACTGGAAGCTTCATGAAGTGGGAAATTCATCTATTTTATTCACTGTTTTAGTCCCCAAGCACCTAGTAGGTGCTCAATTAAAATTTACTAAATGTATATTAGATATTAGACAAGATTTGTGGACAGAGATTCAGTGAGATCTTTACTTGTCTCAAAAGAAACTTTGCAATGTTCAAAGCTCAAAACTGGTATGCAACATTTGTGTCTTTACAAATATTATCCTTAATTTAAGAATATTTAGACAGTGGATTTAGCCAGCGGATTTAGCCTTCATTGTGTCAAGCATTCAGCTATAGGAACATATGCAATATTACGTATAAGCCAGACACCAACTGATTAATTAGTTATATTCCAAGTCTATTTCTCCATCAATGAATTAGAACACAGAACATGAGAGATGACAGTGTAACATGCCAGCTCACAAAATATCACTTAAGCACTACTGCACTTGAAATTGAGTAGTAATAGGGCTATCAAGGTTAATTACAATGTAAAAGAAGAGGAAGGTTCTAGGAAAAAGTAGGTTAAGGAACCAGAACAAACCTCCCGCCCTCTCTCACACCTGCCTACACCTGCCAAGCAGTGGGAGCCACGTGTCCACAGCCCCACAGGATTGTGCACCTGCAGTGGGTGGGCAGGGAGTGAGGGTCTGTGGTGTTGTAGGTGGGGTTTTCTGAGAGGCCAAGTGAGAGCCAGGCTCCCGCAGGGCAGAGTATAAGGAACAGAACAAAAGCAGCAAAGAGTGTACAGAAACTGTGCTGGCAGGGAAGGAGAAGGGACTCAAGTGACTTTCTTTTCATCCTCTTTTTAGTAATTATTTTTGATATTATCATGTGAATTAATACATTATAGTAGGACTGTTGGGCATCAATAGGTTTTTGACAAGGATATTCATAATAGCCAACTTACTTGTTTTTAAAATTGCAAAAATTTAATCACTGCTAAATCCACTTTTGCATTTTTTAAAAATAAACTATCAGTGACTATAGTGTTTTGGAACTTTGAGAACTGTTAAATTTACATGACCTTCATGCATTCATTAAACAACAACAAAACTTGGTTCTGTGGAAACAAAGAGAAACTGATGCACATTAGAAGACACTCACACAAACTCAGTCTTGATTCTAGAAGCTTCCTTTCCAGCATTGCTGGGTGTGCCCTGCACTCTCTTGTCCAGGAAGTCCCTGATAATCAGGTCCTGGCAGTTCAGCCTCAGGCAAGCCCAAATGAAACAAAGATAATTCCTTCAGGAATTAGCAGTTCTTCCTCTTTCTCATAATAACTACATAACTGACTGATTCTCTTTTTCTTGTTCAGGATCAAATTTCTGGCCTTTACAACCTACACATTCATTTGTTTACTCGCTGGGGTAGGGAAGTTGATTTTCCTTTCTTATTTACACAAGCCCTTTCTATTTTTATTAATGTAGTTCCAGGCCACGGTTAATTTGTACTCTTGCATTTTTTAAAAATTTGTAATCGGCTTTATTGAGATAAAACTTATGTCGAATAAACCATTCACTGAAAGTGTACAAGTTTGTATACACCTGAGAAACCATAGCAACAATCAAGATACAGCCCATCAGCATCACCCGCAAAGGTTTCTTCAGGCTCTCTCAGGCCTTCCCTCCCTCCATCCCAGGCAACCACTGATAGAGCTTGTGTTACTACAGATTAGTTTGTATTTCCCAGGAAGCGCCTGGTTTCTTTTACTCAGCATAATTATCTTGAGATTCATGCATGTTGCTACACACTCTTGGTTCCTTTTTTTTTTTTTTTTTTTAATTGTGGGGCAGTATTCCATTGTGTGGATATATTACATTTTCCTTGTTAATCCATCTATTGATGGACATTTGGATGGTTTCCAGTTTTTGGCTAATGTGAATAAAGCAAGCTATGAACATTCCTGTACAAATATTTGTGCGAACATAGGTTTCCATTTCTTTTGAGTAAAACCCTAAAAGTGGAATTGTTGGGTCACGTGTATCTAATTAACATTTTAAAATATCGCCTGTTTTCCAAAGTAGTTATACCATGTTACTTACATTCCTACCAGTAGGGTAAGAGAGTTTCAGTTGCTTTACATCTTTGCTAACCTTTGGTATTGTAAATGATTCTAATTTTACCTATGCTACTGGGTGTGTAAAGGATGCATGTATATTTTATTCTTGTTTTATTTTGTGTGTGGCTTTTTATAGACATTAGGTTTTGCCCCTCAGTTTACCTTGGTTATAGGATTCCCCTTTTCTTTCCAAAACTACCCCTCTCCTATCCCAGTGCCTGTCGTTTGGGTGGGGCTGGTTCCAAATGTGGACACATGACCCAGGCTAGGCCAGAGTATTTCATTCCCCCTGGACCCTGCTATTCCTGCATGGGATCCAAGCAGGGCCAACCAAAGCACTTCCCTCAGGGCTCAAACTTGCAGATGGGTGAGGAAGCATTCCTCCTTCTACTACTGAGGGTGCTAAGAGTCAGGAGCCTGGAGCTATGCTTGCCTCCATGTGGAGAATGCCTGCCTAAGAAGAAACTCAGCCCTAGGAAAGAAGAGCAAGCCCCATATTAGGTTCTAGAACACAGATAAAATTAAAATATGGCTCAGTCTTCAGGGAGCTCATTTTAGTCTGATGGAGTAGACACATTTACACACTGTTTACTGTAAACGTGTGGTAAGTGCTATGATGAAAATATCGATAGGGTACTTTGGGAGTATGGAGGAAGAAAGGGTATAACTTGGTTCATAAAAATGTCTAGAATAGGTGGTTGGAACAGGGTCTTAAAGAATGATTAGGATTGTCCAGTAAAAGATAGGGTTGGGACAAGCACCCCAGGTGGAAGGTAGAGTGTTTCTGAAATCTAGAAAATGTAAAACAACATGAAATCTTTTAAGTGGTAGAGTACAGCTAGAGGAAAAGTATTTGGAGGTGTCTGTCTCTCCTGCTTTCTGAGACTCAGTGGTGAGGCGGGCAAAAATGAAGCCAGGGAGTACGGTAGGGGCCAGGATAGTAAGGGCTTCCTGTGCTAATGAAAAAATTTAAAAAGTTCCTAAAACTGAAAAGGTACTAAAGCTTTGGGAGCAGAGCAATGACCGGCAGCAATGTGGAGAATGGATGGTGCAAGACCAGCCTGGGGCAGGGAGCCTGAGCCAGAATCTACTGCAGTAATTTAGGTGAAAAGGAATGATATCCAACCTTCGAGAGCAAGATAGAATTAAAAAACATCTCACGCACAGTTATAATAGCACCAAGGGAAGCACAGAATGTAATAATTCAGATAAGCATATTATTTTTAATGTTAGTAACTCCAAATGACATTAAAAAAGTGGCTTCCAAATTATTATAATTCACAATATCTAAAGTACTTACCTCCATCATCTGTAAGTCTGTATTTATGGTTCTCCCTATTATATACATTAGAGTAACCAATGACTGTGTTCCATACCTGCAAACAAGATGCTAATCAGGGTTGGGAAATGTATTGCAAGACAAAGCTATGTTTTATTTGCCAGATAAACGCTAAGTCCATAGCCCCTTTTAATTTTTACCTCCCAAATCTAAGAGAAAACATGTATGAACTAGTTTACCTTCATTTTTTAGTAGAAAATCTATTAGTACTAAATAGTATTTATAGTTAAATACTGATTTGTATAACACAGTTTATAGTTTACTTAAATGTAAAAAGCTCTTCTTAAAAACAATAACACCAATAACTGTTTTTATCTTTTTAAATGAAGTGGTTAGAATAGATGTCACATAACCCAAACTAAGAAAATTTGTAAGGGAGTAAATAAATATGCAAATTGTGCCCCTTAAAAAAACAGTAGTTAATGTAGGATCAATTTCAGAAACTCTGACTAAAATACCCTGAAAGCTCATTTAAAATTTTGTATTTGCATATGCTTTTTTGGAGAGAGGATACATATCATCTGCGATTCTCCAAATGCTGGTGATCATTCAAATCTAAGTTCCTGGCTCTTCTCTGCTTATGCTCCCTCAGACAAGTGTGGTCATGGAAACTTCCTCCTTGGTTTAGTGTCCTTGAATACCCAAGGAAAATCATCTTTTAAAAAGCCACAAAGTGTTGCTACAGAGAAAGCAGATACATACCTGCCCAAAGTGGTGTGGTAGCTAAAAAAGTAAATAAAGACTTTTGGATGCATTAAGAAAGACAGAAAATTAAAATAGGGTCAATATGGACAGAACAAGAAATGGTTGAAATGTCTTCATAGTTAATACACACAATTGATTTATTTAAAATATGTATACTTGAAATTAAAAATAGTAAGAGTTAATGTTGGCATAATACACAAACAAGGGTGGGAGAAAACAGTGCCTTTGTTCTTTTTAAGTTCCCAGCTATAATGTAAACCATGTCTACTTAAGCAAAGTGGAGGATGAGAGGCAATCTACATGTAATTCAGACAAGCAAACTTGTTTCTATGGGGAAAATGGGAATATTTCTTAGTTCTTCATTTTTATTGGCCAGATATAAAAAGCCTAGGAGATGACTCAAGAAACTTGGCAAACTTTGCAAAGAAACCAAGTTTCTAACCTTTTAAAAAAAAAGTGGAAAACTACCTAAGGTGATAAAAGTGTGATTTTCTACCAGATCCAGGAGAAAAATTACCCCAGGAGGCAGGGCTCAATTTGAAGTTACCTTGGGCAACTTACAAACTGTAAAAATGGGGAATAACATATAGTTAGATGCATTGTTCTGGAGAGTAAGCAAGATAAAATATGTTGAGGCATCTATCAGAGTCCCTGGCGCATCTCATTCTTTCCTGGTCTTGCAAGCTTCAGTAGGAGATATTTTTTAGACAGTGAGGATTTGTCACTCTTGTGGAGAAGACAATCTTTTTGAAATATTACCGAACAACAATATACACTTTACAAATAGTTTATCTCACCAGTAGTCAAATGCATTCTAATTATTACAAAGACAAAAGCCAGTGGGTGTCAGCATAGTTACCCTTTTAAACATATTGATAGCATTCAATGCCAGGGTGGACACAGTGATTTGGGTACTCTAGTCTGGCTCACCTTCTGCCTCTCTGCTTTTTCACATTTCCCCTCCCCTCCTCTCCCTCTTCTCGCCCTGCCTGACTTCCTGTGGCAAGTATGGGAGCACCAAGGCACCCAGCCAATCCAATGACAGGCGGTGGAAATGGGCCCACTCCAACATCTCAACTTGCTCAGTTCTCTTGTGCTCCTATTTAACCCTTTCAGCTCTGTTCCTTATCATAAAATGCAACAGAATGGAAGTGAAAATAAGTACAGGTTTCAAGCTTAGGACTTTAGGCAATATAATAATATTTGGAGAAGAAATCAAGTGTTCGGTTAAAGAAAAGAGTAAGATTCACTTCAGATCAGTTGAGTTTGAAACTCAATATATATTATATATTCAAATAAAGCTAGGTTTTTCCTTGTAGGCTGTGAAATCTGCATTGATTTAAGAAAGCCAAAAACAACTTAACAAGGATGATAAGGGCACAAATATAATTTCTACCACATTCATTAAAAAATCCTATCGTTCCATCTCTATTCATACATTCTTAGAATCTACCCACATCTACATGTACATATTGATTTTCATGTAGCCTGAGAGATGTCTTTACAGTCAGTGAAGGTTCCTTCATTTAGATCAGCGCTCAAAGGATCATCTTTGGTCCAACAGTTAGCTAATTACTCCTCACCAGCCAGTGCAGTGCCTGCACATGGGGGTGAAGGCAGGACCAAGCTAAAGGTGTTCTATTCAATCAAATACTCCAAAATAAATGTTCAGATTAGGCTTCCTGAGATTTCTGGGCCTGGTTGAAGGGGGCTGATGTTCCTGAACGGCTTATTGGCAGTGTGCTCAACTTTACCCCTTGACCAGCCCTGTCTCCTCCTTTCCAGTGCCCTAAGCTCCAGCCAGTGATTGTGACTAGTGTACCAAGTGAGTCTTTCAGACCTTCCATGTGGAAGGTGACTTCTTCCAGCTCTACCTGTTCAAATCTCACTAGTTCCCTTTCTTCCTTTTGAATCCCCAAAGCCTTCTCCATCTCGATCTCCACATTCTAATAGCTTTATATCCCCAACAACAGCTTAAACTAACTGTGCCTTGGCATAGAAAAACAAAATATTTTATTACTGGAAAGAACTTTAATCAAATACACATCTTTCATTTTACAGAAGAGGAAACCAAGGCCTAAGTGTTCACAGGCAAATGATAAATAAATGTTGTTCCAGTCCCACTTCCAAATGAGAGGGTTGGAGGACGTTCTCATCTGCCTTTCTCTTGATACAACTGATCTACTAGCAAAATGACATTTTGTTTACATTAGCACATACAGCACGTAGCAGGATTACAGATGTAAGATGCTAGGTAAAGTATATGGAAAACTCCACATTTCCTCCCACAGGGCTTGTTGGAGCCTTTACGATGCTAAGATATACTGTGAATGTGAAAAAGCGGAGTTTAACACTGATAGTTTCCAAACTGATTGGGCTATCGTCTTCTTGTTAACAGAAGGCTTATCAACATCTTCCATGCATGATGCTCAGTGGAACATACTGCAGAAATGCTAATTTCAGTACCAACTGACAAGTGATCAGTCACATTTTAGCAAATTTAAAATAAATGCTTTCTACATTATTAATATAAAACTTAACTTGTCATAAGCATTTGTTTACTTATACTTTTATACTACCTTTATCATTATATGAAGACAGGTGTCATGCATATATTCATGTCAAGTGTAACTGTTTAATAAATGATAGTCTGATGTACAAAGAATTAAGCATTTTTCTGCCATTTTTAGTGTATCACATTTTAATTATTAATTTTTAATCTGCTATATATTTCCCTCTAACAATTCATAAATATTATTGCTGACTATTTAAACAAAATCCTTTGTAAAATTCAGCAAGATCAGTGAATATAAATTGAACTGTAAAAATAAGTGTTATTAGATGTAGAAAACACATTTATTTGAGTGTGAAAGACCTTTTGTACCAAACATTAGTGTACAAGAAAAGGAAACTGAGATAAATCTGCCATAAACAAAATAGACATCTATTTTATGAGCATAGCATTTTTGTCTATAAAAGGAAAATATTCAAGCCATGGTTAAAAGTTCTTGCACTTATACTTCTATGAACTTCTTTGGGGATAAGGATAATAGCCATTTAAAGTTTAAAAAAAAATTTCTACTCTTATTTAATAGAGTTATGTAGATCATTTAAATAAATTGCTACACAGTGGATTTTTCGGAGAGTGCTGCCAACGTGTTCTTGTTCTCTAAATGCAGAAAAAAATGTTCTTCTGAGGAATAAAACTTAAAACACACTAAGGCCCTTAAATTAAGCGCAGTGTTTCCATGGGTTGCTCAAAACCATCTAGGGGGGAGGCCTTGATTGGCATATGCGCTGTCTATGGTATAAGAAGAGGGGAAAAACTGAACGGAGGGCTTGTTTACCCTTGAGAACAATGCTGTCCGGTTGAACTTCCAGCAATGATGGAAATGTTTGATATCTGAGCTCTCTAATATGTAGCTACTGGCCATATTGAACACTTAAAATAGGACTAGTGCAACAAAGGAACTGAATTTTAAATTGTATTTAACTTTAATTAATTTAAATTTAAATATCCACATGTTAGCTAGTGGTTACCACATTGAGTGATGTAGCCTCAGATAGTTTTTAAACCTAGTGTCATCTGGTTCCATGTTAAAGTATACTGGAGACCCCTGGAAAGCGAGCAAAAGGTACACATTCCCCGCAATATTTGGGCAGATTACTATTTTAAAAGGTTAGGTGGGTTTTGGTAGTCTTAGGTTACTTAGCCTCTCCAGGTGATTCTGAAGCTCTGCCACATTAGAAAGTGTCTGGTTTGTGCTTGGTATGAATATGGCCTGTGGCTGACAGGCACCATGTCACCTTGAGCCACAACAATATATAACAATCCTTGACACTTAGAGAGCACCCCAAGTGCCAGGCACTAGTGAATACTAAGCCTGGGAGTAACTGTGAACCTGTGTTTGCCGCAGAGTCCAGCAGTACTTCCAAAGGAATGGAGAATGTGACAGCCTGTGGTCATTACAAGGCCCTCAGGCACACCATGTCATATCTCTTTGTTGCTTTTTTGGGGGTATGTGTGGCATATTTCTTAAAGAGAATGTTTGCTCAACATTTTAATTCCAAAATCACTACGGGGTTGTTCAGCAGAATGTTCTGGAAGAAAATAGTCAAGGACGGTAGCTGTGGGGAATGACCTTAGGCAGCAAAAGGGCAGATGGCTTCATAGACCTGGCAAAGCCAGGCATTTCAGACCTAGAGTGAGCCTACGGATGGGGCTTTTGTTCCAAGCTCCAGGGGGAGAGAACAGAAACTAACACACAACCCCCATGAGTTGGCATCTCTGAAACCTCATGGAACAAGGGGACCTGTAGAAATAATTCTCATTTATATCCCAAGTCCCAAATTCCCAGTGAGAAGTGGTACCTAGGAAGGAGAGGATTACCTTTAAAAATTTTAAGCAAAAATGGAAATACCATTTACCCTCAAGGTCTTAGGGATCCCAGGAATCTTAAGGATTTTGTAAGGCCCTCTGAAGCAATAAACCTAAAATGATGAATAATTTAAAACAGGAGGTAGAGACAATTTTCTCAATATGTGAGTAGTCTATGTGTATTTTACTGATGAGCCAGTAAATGGTAGTGTACAAATAAGCTTTTATCTACATGTTTTAAATTTCTGATTTAAAACCACATTATTTGGTTTTGTAAAGGTGATCAACAAATGTCCACACAAAAACAAACCAAAACACTGTATCCCACTTCATTATTTTGCTCTTTTAGAGAGCCATATTCACATTCTAAAATATTTTTTATTCTAAATATATTTTGTTTCAACAGAACCTATTTACAAAAAGTATCTTCCAACTTTACAGGTGTTTGGACCTGAACTGTTACCTACTTTGTATCTGTTAATGCTATGGTATGTGATCATTAGGGATGTATGACTAAATAATGTTCTAGAAAGACCAGCTATCAAGGGCATGCTGTCTGGTATTTGCATGTCAATATATATTTTACCCAAAAGAAGGGCTAGGAAGCAAGCAAATTAATCTTTAATGATGAGAAATATAAAAAAGCTCAAGAACATGGAGTTTAGATGTATAAAGGGAATGTGACAAATAAAACACATGAACAACATCCACGCTGAAGTAATAATGGGTATTGTTGTTTCTTAAAGATACAGTGACATCATAAAATATGGCCTATAATGGTACTTCATAAAATAGATGAATGGATGATATGCATGTATACCAAAAAAACAAGACTTGCTCTGATCTGTGTTTCAAACTTCATAGGGGCACAGTGGGGAAATTGTGGTGTAAAACTATCCCATGCAAATCTGTTTTCATACAGAAAGCCAAAACTGAGGATAAGTGACCTTCTCTTCCATAACACAGCCAGTTTGTAGTGAGACTGAGTGTAAGAAAACATCATCACTTTTCTAGTCAGTGCAAAGGACTTTTGTGACCTAGCCAGACTTCTAGCACCAAACCTGAGACCTAAATGAAAGCGTGATCTCACATTTTCTTCTTACCTTTCACTCACAGCTTGCCAATTGCTGACTAAAAAGTCTTTTGCAACATAACGGCCCACTTCAGATGCTGCCACAACTTCAATTATATTTGTGTAATTAAAATTGAATAGAGATGTAGAGATGGCGTATTCCATAAATCTGAAAAAATACATTTGCAAAAAATAAATATGTAAAAATCATCTAATATAAAAAGTTAATTTAAAAGAATGGAATCAAAATCCCAAATGATTCTGTTAATGATGCACAGTTCTCCCTTCGGTTTATTAATTGCATTCTTCTGCCAGGAACTTTTTTTTCTTAATCTTCATCCAAGGATATGTTTGTATTGATTTTAGAGAGAGAGAAATATCGATTGGTTGCCTCCCCTACACTCCCCAACCAGGAACTGAACCCACAACCTAGGTATGTGTCCTGACCAGGAATTGAACTAGCAACCTTTTGGTGTATGGGATGGCTCTCCAACCAACTGAGCCACCATGCCAGGGCCCATCAGGAACTTTCAAGGTAAGTTGACCATAGTCACCTGTTAAGTATCCATGGATCTTTACTGCAGCTCATTGCATAAATAAGTTGAAGCCTTTCTTCTTCCTTTGTGTTATTGGTGTAGATATTTAACAAAAAGTCCCATTCTTTATCACTTCCCAAGGCGATGCCATAACATAAAATCACAGTTTTTATGGGATAAGGTATTCTGTAAAGTATAATATGCAATTATATTTCTCATAGTAGTTATGTTTGTCTAGAACTATATACCTAGAAAAAAATGTTGAGATCTCAGATATAAAAATCAAAAGGAGAGATCTAGAAAGGCAACTGCAGAAACTGTCATTAGTATTCCTATCACAAAACAAGATCATCAAATTAGTTTAGAAACTAATGGTTTTAAGGAAGAACTAAATTAGAATAGTACAAACAGTACTGTATGCTGATAATGTTTGGTCTTATATCACATTATCACATTTCCTAACAGTCTGAGTGATATTCTAGAGGTAATATAATACAATCAAAATAACAGAGTCTTAGTCTCAACTCTCAGAGAGGGAGCAAACTCACAGAGAAAAACCACTGGCAAGACAGGAATACACTGGCAATGACAGGTCCTGGGTGACATCACAGTCTAAATTCTCATCTACTTTTATGCATAGACCTACATTAGATAACTTTAAAAAAAAAAGATACTTGAAAAAAATTGGAGGAGAGAGAGAGATTAACCAAGTGAAAACAAAAACAATCACTCCCAGAGTGAAAGCATCAAAAAGGTAGAGAAATTGACGGTGTTGAAACAGGAGAAAAACAAGGGCAATTATGGTATTACTCTTACTCATTCTCTGGGTGGATCATCCAGTTTTTGAAGAGTTCTCTTGACAGCTGAAGACAGTCTTCAAGGCCCAAGAAACATATAGCTCCAAAAAGGTTTTCCAGTGATATTCTTGAAGGAAAAGTAAAAAAAAAAAAAAATCATTTTATTTTATATTACTACATTATTTTTCTGTCTCCAAGAATATGTTTCATAAAACTGGATATTTTAAAATATCCTCCCATAACATTGGATTTGCTTAAAAAAAAAAAAAAAACCAGCTTCGTGGATAACAAATGTGTTTAAGATTCAGAGAAATGTTTGCTGAGAGGCTCTCAGGCACCAAATAAGCTCCTAAGGTGGTATTTTTTGAAAAGTTAGAAATAAATTACTGCCATCCTTCATCTCCCTCAATCATACTCAGTGTACACACACTCCACATCTGTTATCAATTTATTTTTTCTCCTTTTTACAATTATTGCCTTGTGGATAAAAAAAAAATCACTTCAGAGTTTTTGATCTAATACTCTTAAAAACAAAGTTTTTTATACATGGAAAGGAAAGGGAATGGTTTATTTCTCTCCTTTAACAATGTGCTTTTCCTTGCTTAAGCTTCTTTTTCTTCTTCAACTCCTCCTGGCTATTATATTTATGGCCAGAAAGAAAATAGAGGTTTTCATAGCTGAGAAGGGGTACACATTATGCCTCAAAATGAAGTAAGTTCAAAAGACTACAGTGAAGAACAATAATAAATCCAGGTAAGCGGTGCCTGAGGTGTGTCTTCCTATACTCCCCAACTTAGGAGTCACAGGCAAAGGAATTCAAACTGTCCGTAAGTTTCCAGAAAATGCAAGAGCCACATCTTTATTGCTCCACCCTCTAGTTTCAACCCAGCTTGACCTGACCTTCTGATAAGCAGAGGTGGAATGTCCAAGCGGGGAGGCCCTCTGAGAAACAGCTCTGAGCATTCCCGTACACACACATACTCCCTCTCCCTACCCATCCCAAGCTGGCTGCGGCAAGACTGCTCCAAAGAGAACTGGTCTTGGGATGCTACAAAAAGCAGATTACCTCACTGTAACCAGTTCAAGAATATGGCTAGTTAACAGGTGTGCTGCCTGACTGCGCACACTTTTGCCTTCCCGTTTATTTGCACATGCCTACACACTTACTACCCCAGGTAGTCTTCCCTGTCTTCCATCTACTTGTCTATTCAAGCCTGTGACTGGCAGGACAATCGCAGGCCAGTCACAGGCTTGAATAAAAAGTAGATTTCCTCGTCTCTCAGAAGGATACTCAGAAGAGATATTTGCATTTTGTGTACCCTGTATTTCTTGGATGGTCTAATTGATTTCAGCTTGATTTGACTAGTACCGTAAATACAATCCCTATACCAGTGTTGATTATAAACTCCCTCCCTAAATCTAGAAGCCCACCATACACACACAAACCTTGGGTCCCAGGGAGACTGGTGATACCACAACTGTATTTTAACTTTCACTCCCTTCCCAGACTATCACAACCACATGCTTACTTCCCTCACCAAACCAATGATGTGAAAATCATTTGCAACATTAGGATCACACACAATGACTGATATATTTCACTGTCAACTTCTCTCATCTGATTTGCACAATGGTAGAATTTCTGTCATCAATAATATACAGAGGGAACTCTTTTCCCCTGTGGTCTTTGCATGCCCTTCAGTTAATTGGTACAGGCTGACTTTGCTTAGCACAAAACCCTTCACCAATAGTACGACACTCTTAACAGTTTCAACCAGTAGCGTAAGATTTGAGAATATAGAGCTATAAATTCCTCTGTATACACATATGCACTTTTCAGGTAAATGAAGATTGCAAACTATTATTTCCTATTAGAATACATATTGCTTACCAATCTCAAGCTACTGTTCTAAAAATCACATTAAAAATCTCTCAGTGAATCATAGTTATTAAGATCTTATGTAAATTTGAAAGCCTATTTATTAATATGAATCATTATACACAAGTATCACTGTTCAAAAAATACTTACAGAGCTAAATAGTCATCTTGCAATGCTGCCACATTTTCGCGAATTATAGTTGAATAAATATTCCATACTGAGATAAATCTCTTTAATAGATACTTCTATAAACAATAAAGAAAATACACTGTTAGTTTTGGCTCAAAACACTGAATTTGCACTGTATTTCTCTTTATCTGAAAAGACATTAATAGTGACAGATAGTTCTTCAAAAATGATCTTTATGTGTTAGTAATGTGTAGCTAGTTTATTTTTTAACCTCCCTAGATTCAGTTTTCTCATACAAAAAAATGGGGTTTACAGTAATACCAAGTTTTGGGGAGACTAAACAATGTATGTAATATTGTGCCATACTGCCTGGCACATAAATAAATAAATTTTAGCTATTGTTATCATTTAATATCACCCCACCTATTTCTGGTTGTCTTCAAAAATGTAAAAATTCAAAACTATTTAACTTTCTACCTTAAAACACCCATGTTTAATATATATACTGCCAAGAAAATAAGGAAAACTGATTTATGCCTTAGACAAGTTTAAGCCCTAAATCTGAAATAAAGTTTCTTCAATTGAGCTAACAGCTGGTAAATAATAAAATTATAAATATATATTTACAATACATGCCTGAGAATAAATTAGATGATATTCACTGAAATTCTTTAATAGGTAGTTACAGAATAGCCATGGGGATGTAAAGCGCAGTACAGGGGAGTAGCCAAAGAGCGTATACACAGGACCCATGGACAGGAACAATGGCAGGGGCACTGCCTGAGGGAGTGGGGGGGTGCTGGGTGGAGGGGGGCAAAGCGGGGAAAACCAGGGCAACTCTAATAGTATGATCAATAAAATATAATTTAAAAACAGATACTTAGTTTTCACTTATTTACCCAAAACCAGTCATCAGGTATTATCAGTGAACCACCTCAAGCCCACAAATATTTAAGTGCCCTCTATTGGTACCATCCTCACATTCAAGTAAGTTCCCATGAGCACTTTGAACAGTGGGGAAAAAAAGTCTGGAACCCTGAGGTATTTGCAATCTTGCCCTCAAACTGCCCCAGAAACTCACTCATAATCACCACCACCTAACTTACTTTCTGGTTTGTTTGTGTCTCTTAGCTCTCTGAAGAGCTACTCCCTAACTTTTGTTTTGATTTTACCTGTGCTGTCTTTTTTATGATCACTGTTTAAAACCCAAGAATGGAACTTTTCTCCTGTTATATTGTTTATGATGGCATGTTATTTCTTCTTTCGTTAATTCTAATTTCCCCCTCTCTCTCTCTTTGGAACTTCAAAAACAGTTTTGAAACTTTTGTTTTTTCTGGAATACACCTCTCTGGTGTTAAGTGCTGGCCCTGTAAATCAGAGTATTTGAATTGTGAACATAGGATTGTTAAAAGTCATCCTGTTGAACAACAATCTTTCAGCCCTGGCTGGTGTGGCTCAGTGAATTGAGCACTGGCCTACAAACCAAAGAGTCACCAGTTCAATTCCCAGTCAGGGCACATGCCTGGGTTGTGGGTCAGGTCCCCAGTTGAGGGCACAAGAAGCAAATACACATTGATGTTTCTTTCCCTTTTTTCCTCCCTCCCTTCCCCTCTCTCTAGAAATAAATAAGTAAAATCTTTTTTAAAAAATCTCTCAGGAAAAATAGTTGCTAATACATACTATTCTTTTCTGTAAGAAAAAAAAAGGCATATCATTTCTATCCACTGCTGGTTTCTTAGGGTTAGGGTTAGGACATACCACTTCAGTAAGAATTAAGTACCTTTCCAAACTTCTTTTTTTTAAAAGATTTTATTTATATTTTTTAGAAAGAGGGGTCAGGAGGGAGAAAGAGAAACATCAGTCGGTTGCCTCTCCACATACCCCCAACTGGGGACCTTGCCCGCAACCCAGGCATGTACCCTGACTGGGAATTAAACTGGCAACCTTTTGGCTCACAGGCCAGTGCTCAATCCACTGAGCCACACCAGCCAGGGCTCCAAGCTTTTAGCATACTCATATCTTAGACCAGGTTTATGACTAAGGTATTTTTTTAGAAAGAATAATCAGTCATTCCTAAAAAAAAAAAGAATATATGTATGGAATTAATATAATAGACTATTACTTTTGAAAAGGACTGTTTCACAGATGCTCTTTAGAATATAGAAGGAGGAAGAATGAATTTTTTTAAACCACATAACAAAGAATGAAATTACCTTTAATAATGGGTATATATCATAGTTGCTCACATCAGAAACAAAATTCCTGGGTAGCAGGTTCATCAAGACTGCATGCCATACTATGATTTCATCTTCTTCAGCAAGGTACTTGGTTAAATCAAGTGCTGTTTCAATCTCAATATAATTGTTTCTGTTCGGTTTAAAAACAAAAACTAAAAAACCTTCACTTGCTAAATAATTTGTACACTTTCCATATTTGTTCCATGCTTCAAGGCCTGACTTCAATAAGGTATGTGGAATCAGGAAGCTGGGGGGTAAAAGTCCTTTCTCCTTGATAAGATGGGAACCAAGCAACATTGAAAGACACTTCATTTCAATTTGGCAAAGGAATATTTGTGCATTTAGTATGCATTCTTATGAGTATAATTTCCAATCAACAAGTATTAATTAAAAGTAATTCTCTAGCTAATGTTCTATAAGCAAAAACTAGAATATAGGATGTTATTTTTACCTACCACTGAGGAGCTTATTTGTTCAGTGAGGAGCTGAGATTTACACATAAGCAGCTGTTAATAAAAGGTCCTAAAAAAAGCAATGAATACAATAAAGTAGCAAAGAAGGAAACCATATGCATGTGATGAAAAAGTCAGTGAAGTCCTACTGGAGGAAGAATTTGAGAACAATGAAAGATGGGTAGGATTGAAATGGGTGATGAAAAAGAAGAAGACAACTTAGGACAAAGAAGATAAAGTGGGAATTAATATGATGGGCAGGCCAAGATAATTGAAGGAGAGGATTTATTTTGTGTATAGTTGAGAGGCAGGGCCTAAATAGGAAAGGTGGATTAAAACTGTGGAGAGCCATGAATGTTGGGATGAAGAGTTTACATGTGGTGATAAGGTATTTAGGCAACTGAGTAACACCATGAAATTGATGCCTAAAAAACATTATTGCACTTGTGCTGAAGAAGATAGAATGTAATTCAAAGGAACTATAGGCTAGAAGCTAATACAATAGGCCAAGCAAAAGACCATGAAAGCTTGGCTTAGTTTGGAAGCAGTGAAGGTAGTAAGGTGGGAATCCAAGACTTTCCCAAGAACAAATTGATAAGAAGATGTGACTACTTGGGAAATGTAGAGGAGTTCAGGATATCTCTGATGTTTTAAGTTTGGGTGATGGGAATAATAGTGGTACCTTTGACACAGAGAAAAAAATGATAGTAGGAACAATTTAGAGACAGAAAAAGTTCGGTATCTTGGGTGCTAAATTTAAGCAACCGCAGGCTAAACAGACGACATGAAGAGACAAGTAGATACGTAGATTTAGAAGTCATCAACTATCTTCCACAAACAGTTATTGAGTACTTTATATCTTCTAGGCACCGTACATGTACGTAATAGAACAATCACTGAATTAAAAAATGCCCGAGTTATCCACAGGAAAGTAGAAGAAAATAGCGGAGCCATCACTGGTCTTGAGGATGCTCCCAGCAGCAAGAAGAGGAGAAGTCAGATACAGGAGGAGAATTGTTTTTGTATATTGGAGTCTCAGGAAGCCAAAAATGAAGTTTCCAGGAGGATGTAGTCAACAGTATCAAAGTCATAGTAATCTTAGAGAGGAGTTTCAACAAAAGTAGTGAACAAGGAAGTGTGCCACAGGTCACAGGGGGGAAAAAATAGTTAAGAAATGAGGGATGAAATAAGCAGACATTCATTTAGGAAATATGACAAGCTTAAGAAAGAGAGAACACACTAGATAATTTATCATGTATATTTTCCTTAATTTTATTGTCTGAAAATTTAAATTCTGAACATATATTGATTTACCTGGCTAAGTACTTACCAGCATTTCATATTTCATATTTCAATATGAACTTCAAAATTTCATATTGAAGAAATATGTTATAAATAAAATCAATAATTTTTAATATGTTAAAATACAGGCCATATCTCATTAAAATTATACCTACAGCCATCACTTTTGGGTAACATAAATCACTTCAAAATCTCAGGTTATGGTCTATTTATTTCCAGCAACTCTTTTTTTAAAGTGTGAGCTATCTTATTTCCTTAACCCTCAATATCACAGAAAAATATGAAGACATCTACAATCTTCCTAAATTTATCCATTCACTAGAGTTTACAACATTTATAAAATAAATGTATAACATTTACTAGAGTTTACAAAGGCAAGCCTGAATCGCTTGTAGTTTCGCTAAATTTTTATTCCTGATTGATAGTTTAAAAATAATGATTCTCATACTTTTTGTAATAATCCTGTAAATATTTAAACACTATTATCTTGTTTCTATTTATATCTCCTCTATTACATCCTTTTCAAACTTTTCCTTTAAAGCATTCCTTTTAAAACACTGAATCATCTTTGCTGATCTTTTAAGACCCTTTAAAAAAATTCTCCATAATCATTTTTAAATCTTATTGCACCAAAGTCAATTTCATTTTGAAAATATATAGGACTTTGATATAATTAACTGCCATGTTTTGACTTGAGAAAGAACATATTCTTCCTCTCAAATTGTTGGCAAAAGAATTGCTTTCTAATTGTAATAGACATTAGTGCTCTTTCCTGATAGGACTTTTTAAATTGTGTTTTTTCTTTTTTATTGTGGAAAAATACACATAACAAATTTAACATTGTAACTGTTTTTAAGAGTAAAGTTCAGTGGTATTAAACACATTCATAATGTTGTGCAACCATCACCGCCATCATCTCCTTAGCTCTTTTCATTTGTAAAACTGAAATTCTCTATCCATTAAATAGTATCTCCCCCTTTCTTGTTTCCCCTAGCCCCTGAGAACCACCATCTGACTTTCTGTGTTTATAATTTGACGACTCTAATGACCTCATATAAGTGGAATCATACAGTATTTGTCTTTTCGTGACTGGCTTATTTCACTTAGCATAATGCCCTCAAGTTTCACCCATGTTGTTGCATATTCCAGGAAGTTTTATGTAATAAAATTCCACTACAACCACAGAATTTGATGCTAATCTTGATAAATTAGAGCCTGGATATAATAAAGAACCAAATTCATAGTGATGAAGTTCATAATGATAAAGTCCTCAAGGCACAATCTGAAACCATGAGAGAAGAAAATATACTCACTTAGACAAGGAAAAGGCATCATCAATCAACTGTAGTCTGTGAATAACAGGAATAGCCTACAAATTAGATCCCAGTATGTGCAGAAAAAGATAAGAACTTTTTTTAGTAAAAAAGTAATTTTCAAAAGAATAACAACATTGAAAGATCATTGCTACTTACAAAGCACTTCCACGTGAATTGTCTCATGGGCAGAGAAATGATCATTACTGAGGGTAGTCCCCATAATTTCTTTATTATACATCTGTTTTTGATAAATGATCCCTCTAGACATGAATCATAAAGCTTAAATAAAGCTGAGAGTTTTGCCAAAATACTCCCTGAAAACAGCATGTTAAAAAAATAAAACAGGAAGCCAAGTTTAAAAGACCCCTCCAGAACAGAAAGTATACATGAAATTGTATTACAATGCCCAAATTATTGTCAGGGGAATTTTTTGGCATAGGAGACCTTAAATAAATATTATTTAGTACTATTTTGGTAATCTTGAAGTACTCTTTAAAAGATCTCTCTTTTCTCAAGTTTTTACTACTTTGACACAACACTACCAACAGAGCCCTTTGAATCAGGGAAAGGCAGGGGTAAATTGCCGACCTAACTCCTAAGGCTTTGGTCTGAGCTCCTTGGCATTGCCAGGCCACAGGACTCTGTCTCTGCGTTAGCGTCCTAAGGATGCACAGAGCCTCCCACGGTATTCCTTCAACAGCTCCCAGCATTTTTGTATATGTATCCTAGAAAATGTATCTTCACTCCATCCCTTTCAACATGTGAGCAAGCCAAGCTTAATTCTTTCCTTGGTAGTAAACTCATTTCTTTCCTGGCAAGTACTCATTTTATAGATTTAGAATTGAAAATTTTTTTTATTTTCTCATCAATTATGTTGTAGGAATAACTGCCCTCAGTGTTAAAGTAAGTAAATCTACAGTGGTTTCAAGAAATCATTGCTACAATGACGTGACCTAGTGCTTCCATAGCCAAGAGTGCTCTTAGAAATTAACAGGAATTTAGCTACTCTGAAAAAGATTTTAGAACAAAATATCTTCATAAGTGGTTTTTGTAGCTTTATTCAAAAGTGCAACAATAATTTTTAAAAATTACTGAACATGTTCTGAATGCCTGAATTGTCAGTCCTTTGTTAAACATAACACATGCAACACTTTATTTAGTCTTTGCAACAACCCTTTAAGGTTGGTCTGTTATACCCATTATGATACAGATAAAGAAACTGAAGCATGACTGGCCAAATAAGAGGCCTAAGGTCACACACCTGGTAGATGATGAACAAAAATATAAACACAAATCTACCTGACCCAAAAACCCAAGGTCTGGACCAGTGTTCTTTATTGTCTCTTCTGGTAGAGAGGAGGCTGCATGCGTATCTCAGAGAACTTTCAAAGAGGGAGACACCTAAGATTTTTTTTTTAGTTCAAAAGTCTAGTTTTACAAATGGAGTCTCAACGAACTGCCCAAGTTTCAGAGCTGGGCCCGCTTTGTAGACTTCTAAGCCAGCATCCATCTCCCTCAATGGAAATTTGGTTTAATTCAACCAATTAAAATCTTACCAATTGGAGCTAGCCAACATTTTAATATTTACATATTGAGTAAAGACTTAGAGTTGTTTCACAATTTAAAGTATTATTAGATTGTTATTGATAGTTTGTGGATTAAATTTACCCCTTTTTAAAGAGTAAGAGCATAATTTGTATAAAATTAACATTTTCTAGCATATACTGCACATCTATAATGGGCTTAGAAATTTTAAGTGTATGCTTACCTCCTACTTGTCTCTAATCCTCATGACAAATAAGAAAGATATATTATTTCCATTTTAAAGTGAAGAAATGAAAGTAGAACACTTAAGTAACTTGCCTAACATCATAAAATTAAAGGTTAATAGGAAAATGTGTTCTTGATTTTACCTAGAAAGGTAAAATTGTAGAAAGGCGACATTGATGTTCAAAAACACAATACATTCAACCAAAATCTCCCTTTTCTAAGAATAGGAAATGAGGGGAATGTCTCTTCCCAACCAGACAGGTTTATAAAAGCTCAACTCTGAAAGACTAGAGAGTGCAATGTTAATGATATTTACTTAATAAAAGGTATAAAAATAATCTTACCTTAGGATCTTTTTCAAGCTGTTGATTTAATTTCTTCCAACCTAATTTGTCATAGTTAACTCTGTAATATCCAGTCATATTCACATTTAAAATCACCCAGTCATGATCAGAATCTGAAACTTGCATTTCAGGGAATAATTCTACAAAGGAATATGTGAAACGTTTGAAATGGTACATTTGAAAAATATTTCAATATTTGTCTATGTGATATCCTCCTAATTCTAAACATTTAACCCAATGAAACAAAAATTAAAGGAATTCTAAAATATATATAGTGGTCTTACCATACAATTATATTTTTATTTATAATTATATTTTATAATTATATATATAATTAAATTTTCTCACATTAATAGCTTTAGTTTTGAAACTTTTCTTTGGATCTGTGTGTTCAGCTAGAATAATGTAATACTTTAGTTTTAAACAAGATAGTTTTTCAAAAGCTAAATATTTCAACTTTTTATAATATATATTTATGAAGATATTTTTAAAATGTGTTACTTACTGGTGCTTTTATCTAGCCAGACTAAAGACTGTGTAGTTCCATTTTTCATCCAAAGAATAGGTACAATCCATGTGTTACTTATTGGGAAAAAATTTTAAATTCAGTTAATTTTCACATATAAGAATGTAAACACTGAGCCAATTTTAAATGAGATGATAAAATAACAGACAGAACTCAAAACCTTCAGTCATTCCCTCTGGATGTTTAGGACTTCACTCTTATGATTATTTACTGTTGATTTTTACAAGCCAGTTTTGCTTTCGCTTTTTGTTTACTCTCTCATTATATCTTACAGATTTACTTCTTATAATTTAAGGTAGCTACTAAAGCTGTCTTCTATCTGAAACTTTAAAGGCCTGTTTACAATAAATTATAGCCACCTGGCCTTTTCAGAAGTGGTTCAAGTGCTGCAGACAAAACCAAGTCCATCCTTGCTAAAAGAGGTAAAGAGCAATTTAAGAAGAAAAAGTTTGGCTTCCTGGCTGGTGTGGCTCAGTGGAATGAACACTGGCCTGTGAACCAAAAGGCTGCGAGTTAGATTCCCTGCCAGGGCACAGGCCTGGGTTGCTGGCCAGGTCCCCAACTTGGGGTGAGTGTGAGGCAACCAACTGATGTTTCTCTCCTTCTCTTTCTCCCTCCTTTCGCCTCTCTCTAAAAATAAATAAAATATTTAAGAAAAAAAAAGGTTGGCAAACATTTCAAAATGTTTTTTTGGCATCAAGCTTTCTCCCCATCTGAAAAATGTTCAGCATGAATCAGCCAGATTATTCGTATTTACTGAATGCTGACATTCTTCCCGAGTTGGTGATCATGACCGGGATGAAGGAGCTGACCACAGGGCAGACATTAGTCACCTGAAGGAACATGCTACTTGGAGTTTGGGCAAAATTTCCAGCCTTGCTCAAATGTTCACAAGTCTGGGTTCTTAAAAACAATAAACTGAAGGTCTGTGTTTCGCCTGATAGCTAAGCATACCTCTTCTCAAAAGACACAGTGAGAAGAGACCGTTAGGTCTCTTGTTCCTCTTCCATGGGGTTTTGAAAAAAAGAGTAGGTCAACCTGAAAATTATGGGGGTGGTATTTGAAAACTGATTACTCATTGGTGGTAATGCAGCAATGAGTTGTAAGGATAAAAACTGTATGAAAAACAGTTGAAAATTATCTAACAAATTAAGACACAGAGGGGAAGGGAAGGAGAAAATGACGAATGCTAAGCCACTTTATACTCATCATTTCATTTTTACAACTATTTCCTGGGATACATGTTATTACACTTACTTTATTGATAAGGCAACTGAAACACAGAGATTTTAAATAAGACTTACCTAAGGTTTGAATTTTGGTGAAGTCAATATTTGAACCCAGTATCTAAAGGCCATGATTCTAATAATTCTAATATTATAGGTATGACTACAAATACATACACATATGCATGTGCGGACATGCACAGAACTATTCCTCAAGGACATAGTTACCGTTCAGTGCCATTTCTAGGGAAGAGAAGACAACCTTGCAATGGGATCTCCTTTTCCCTTAACTAGCATGAGGTCATGCACAGGTCTATCATATTGCCTATCACCCAGAACCCTTAGTAATTCATTATTTCTGTCTGAAGGACAAAAAAGAATACATAACACCCAAAAGCTTTGGGGCACTGGCGTGGGGGAGGGGTGCTGCCTTGAATCCTTAAAGGCAGGTCTCTGGCCTGGCCCTGGACATCAGGGGCTTTCCCTCACGCAGTGCCCCAGTAACATCCTGCATGGAGTCCTCAATCCCCATTCCAGGGTCACTCCGCGAAAGGGTGTGTAGCCAGCAGGGCTTAGGCTTCCTCACCCACAGGCTGGCTTCCATTTGATCAGAACTCAAGCCCAAGGAAGGTAAAGACAGAGGAGCAAAACCACCTACTTGTGGGTTAGAAGAGTCTGATTTTTAACTTTTCCAAGATAAAATGGCTCCTGTTTCATGATGCCAGTAGATACGTTTAAGGTGATAACTGGAAAACCACTCTGGTGTGTCCAACTGTCCATTATGCTTTTTACTGTTGCTGGCAAAACAATTTTTCTCTGGTCATCTATCGCCTATTTTTAAAAATCATCAGAAAAGCAGATATTTGTCATCGAAACTTTTTGAGGTAGCAATCTCCTAAAAGAAAGTATATAGCAATTATACAGTAATTCCCAGTGGGTGATACTCTGAACCAAATTCAGAACTCTGTTCAACTCTGTATCCGAATGGCTCCTTAGTTCATTCATTCATTCACTCACTGAACACGTATTATTAGATCTAATATGTGCAGGCTCTATTCTAGGCACTGGGAATAGAGTGGTGAACATTATAGAAACAGCCCTGACCTAAAGGAGTTTCACAGACAAAACTGTTCTGTGGCATTGCCGTTCATGCATGGCCACCCTGTCTTGTTGAACTCTATAACACAAGTCAGCAAAAACATGTCAGGAAGTAGGACAATACCATTTGAAAATGTCTCCATAGATCATCTTGCTCAGCATTTGAGTAAGAAAATTTCTCCAAATACGACTGTAAAAACAGAAAAATTAAGGTTAAAATAAATCACATCCTAAAGCAATTTATGTTTACTGCCTTCTAGATAACAATTTTGTAAACTCACCTTAAGTGCGCTAATAAATACACTCTCGTTCAGGAAACTAGAAAGCATGCGGGCCATCGATGCTCCCTAAGACATAAGAAGAAGTCCATGATTTGAACAAAATTCAGTATCTAAATACTGACACATTCCATTTTGATTAACATTATTCTGGGCGGTGCTCCTGATGGCATTGTGCGCTTTAGTTGAATGTTTCAGTTATTCCAAAACATTTTAATGAAATAGTAAACTGTCATTAATTGATAGGTAGAAGAAGAATTAATGTCCTACATATAGAGAGTTCAGGGTACACAAAATCTTTTAAATTAGTATATTTCCACAGCAAGAATAAATTTGCACCAAGCAGAAGCATTTACCTTAAAAATAGCAAGTGTCTAAGTCTATTTATAATAGTAGATGGTACTGAGCACCTAATATCAGCTTGATTAATATTTACTAGATTAAAAATATTTACTAGGTAAGAATTGACTTAACATTTTCTGAAATGTATCTACTGAATAAAATTAAGGTTATTTGGATCAAAAGTTGTACAGGAGCATATACGTCTATGACTCTTAGAATCCATTTTATACAACTTTCTGCAAGAGTACAGAACAAAAGGAAATATATGACCGATTTTACCTTATTGTAAGTAAATGAGTCAAAGAGCTCATTTATTTCATTAGTTTCTGTGAAATTTTCCACCTTCAGTGATACAGCTCTAGACACCAGGGCATGGTCTTCTCTGAGAACATCATGTAAAATGTTAGAAAAAAATACCTCATTCTAAAAGGAAAAATATTGAGCCACATTAAGTTCTGAAGTACCACAGAAACACAAAATTCAATGTTGTCAAAATACTTTCAAAAACTGACACTGAAGAGGGGACAAACAAAATAATAATTGAAAAGTGCTGTGTGAGCTGCAATATGCCAAATGAGTCAGGATTCCATGAATAACCAAATGCTAGGGCTTCTTCCTTCCTATTTGGTGTCCATTTGTATTTCAATTTTTTAAAAAATCAAATACAAAAGTTAATGTGTTTTCCAAGAGATCTAACCACATGCCCTAACGAGGTCCCTGGGGAAACAGCATCTCTTGGTGATTTTAATCCTCTAGAATTTTACAGATAATTTTATTAGTAACCCCTTAAAAATTAATTAATCTCTCTTATGTGGCCATTTATAAACTAAAAGCATGCCATATTTATACATTTGCAAAGATGCAGATGTCATAATTTGAAATTGGAAATAAATCCACAGACAGGACGCAACAGTTTATAGCTCATGCATTAAAAGAAGGCAATTTGTTATATTTTAATGAAAAGTATGGAACTCCCCAAAAGATTAGATCTCTCTGACACCTGACAAGGGCTGTTTCTTTCAGAACGAAAGCTAGGAAGATAACTAAAGTGCAGACAGGAGGTCCGTGGGATGGACGAGCCACAGAAAGGGCAGTGGAGGAGCTGCAGGGACAGCTCACTCACTCTGGAGAGCTGCAAGAGCCCCTGGTAACCCACATTAAGCCTCTCTCAGGGGTCCCCTTGTTGCCTTTCTCACCCCTGCATGTTGTCAAATAAACTTTAAAATCCTGCTCCCATTAGCCAATGTTCCAAACAACCCTCTCCTACCAGCACATTGTTTTTATTTAGATTTATTAATACCACTGATTAGGCTATTATGAAACTCTGAGAAAGCCTATCATTTAGGGCAATACATGTCAATAAAGACAATCTCTAATATCAATAAATAACTAGGGATTTTGTCAAACTCATATTCTAATTCAGTTGGTCCATTTGGGGGCTTGTATTTTTACTAAACTACCAGATGATGCTGATATTGCTAGTTCAAGAATCACACTTTGAGTAGCAAAAATTTACGGGAGACATCTGCATAAGTCTGATTTTATTAAGTACAAGTTTTATTAATTTAACACTAAAGAGTTCTGTTTCTGCATATGGTTCTCTGGTTTTCTTACTCAATTTCAATCTAGTGACTAGATTAAAGGTCCATGATCTTTTAAAGATCATTGAAACAAGGCCTTAAGCTTTTAAAACACAAAGCTTGTGGCAATTTTCTCAAGTGCCAGGAGCTGATGCTCTTCCCGCAAGGTTTATATTCACTCAGCTCCATAAGCAATTGAGAAATGTAAACACAGAAAAAAGTGATTAAGAACCAATGATGGAAAAAAAGTAACTAAGCAGCCCAAAAAAGCTTATCTTACCATCTGAGCTTCATAAACACCAGTAATATGTTTTCATCAAGTTTTACCAGGTATGACAATACCTTAGCCATTTTAGTTGCATTTAGAGGTACTGACTGATGTTAGTATATTCAATTAAGAACACAAGAGGGTAAAGTTTTAAAATGGGTATAAAATAGGTGGAAAACTTCTCCAAAGAGGACATCCAGATGGCCAAGAGAAATATGAAAACATGCTCAACATCATTAGTCATCAGAGAAATGCAAACCACAATGAGGTATCATTATCACCTCACACCTGTCAGAATGGCCATCATCATCATCAAGTTAAGTGTTGGTGAGGATGTAGAGAAAAGGGAATCCTAGTGCACTGTTGGTGAGAAAGCAGATTGGTGCAGCCACTGTGGAAAGCAGTATGGAGGGTCCTCAATAATTAAAAATGGTACTACCTTACGACCCAGCGATTTCACTTCTGGGATATCTTACCGAGAATTATAAGGAATTTCCTTATAAGGAAATACATTCCTTATTTCATTCTTCTGACCTATACAGTGATGTCCGGTCCAGGCGAGGAAGAGCAGAGGCGCCCCGGAGCAGCCAGACTGCAGGGTGGCGGCATTTTATAGGATGTCTGCAAACATGACGGGGGGGGGGGGGGCACCGCACAGGGGCACTCAGAGGCTGCTCTATCAGTGCTTCCCAGGAACTGTGATTTCACAGATTAAAAAAAATTTTAAGTTTCTGTGGGCACAAGGTAGGTTTGTCAACTTTTTATTCTGCCAATTTTTTAAACAGAAACCAAATACCATCTATCTACTATCCTTTCAATCCTAGGAAAGGATCCTAGCATCCTTTCATAAAAGAAGAAAAATGGGAAATTTTACTACCTATATAATAAAACATAATCTTACAGTTTCCTTCAAAGTAAATAAATTTAGCCTGTAAGGGAGATCTGGCTAGTGGAGATGTGCTGCTTTAAACTTTAGGCTAGGTAGGAATATGTGAAAATAACCTAAGCTCTAACAGTACCTTATAAGGTAATATGATAAAGTATTAGGCAACCCATAAAAATAAAAAATAATTAATGATTTGTGGAAATGCTTTTGATAGAATATGAAGTAGAAAAGGCATTATTCTTTTTTGTGTGATTCCCACTTTTATGAATACTTACAAAAAGCATGGAAAAAGAAAACACATTAAAAAGATAAGTCTCTGATATTACAGGTAATGTACTATCCTTGTATTTTTCTGTATTTTATACATTTTCAACAATGAATATGCATTACTTTTACAAGTAGGAAAAAAATATTAATAAATTTAACAGACATACTTACTCCTGGGAGTTTAGGATTGAAGTAGTTAATTATTCCAAGCTCAAAATAAGATGCAAAACCTTCATTGAGCCAGATATTGTTCCACCAACTCATGGTAACCAAGTTTCCAAACCACTTTTGGAGACGAAAGGAGAAAGAGCTTTCTCAAATTTAATTTAAGTAATACTTATTGTAATTGCACATTAAATAAATATAGGGTTAGAGACATAATTAAACTTTATTTGTTTATCATTAAAACAGGACTCAAAAGAGCACATTGTTTTAACATGAAGAGATATCAGTCATACAAGTCTCTGAAATAGTTATTTCACATTCAATGATAGAAAGCAATTTTTCTTTTAAAACTGTGATGTTCAAAAATAATGAAAGCTAGAGTAGCATTTCTTAAACTGTCCACTTTGCCCATAAGTAAAACAAAGTAGTTCTAAATGTTCACTTAATACCTAATTACAGCTTCTTATGCTCTAAGTAGACTACGTCAGGATTTTGCTATAAGCAGTTACTATGTTTTAAAAATATGATTTGATCTGTGCCATATACAAATCACTCAAGTAATCATGTTCTGCAAAATGGCTCAGATATAATTATTTTTTGTATGAGCTTAACAGAAAGAAAGTGTCAAACAGATGATGAATAGAATTAGAAAAGAAAAACACAATCATTTCCAAAACTAACAAATCCACACTCTGGTATTTTACCAAATTCTTGTAACAGCTGTGATGTACTCATAGTTATCAGCCTGTGTTCCAAAACACTGTGTCACTTAGGATATAATAAAACATGACAATTTGGGTGACTGATCAAAACTTGTGGAAGTGTTTGTTGACTGTGTAACATGGTGTTATTAAAGCCTAGGAAACCACTCTTTCCCCAAATTTCTTAGGGATCCATGTAACGAGATGGTTTCTTTTTTGATAGGCTTATATTAATGGAGTCAAGGTCAGAAGGCATAAGTGAGGATTTCCATCAAATCAAATAACTAAACTTCTAAAATCACAACATGAAATGATATAGTTCTAATGAAATGAATCTTTGTTTCTACCTCCTTCAGGGATGCCGCTCACGGGTTCATCACCACTCATCTCACTGATACTAACATGCTGCCTACGGCCCTTTAACCTCTCTGTCAAAAAATTTAAAAAGTTTGTAACAATGTACTGATGAAATGGGGATATCCTTCAGTGACCTTTTACAATGTACCTTATTTTCAGATGGCAAGAAAACAAATAATCATAGCTCTGCTTGGCTTATTTTTCCTGAAGAAGATGATGGGTGGTATAAGGAAACTAAATGATAATGGAAAAAATACAATAAAGATTAAAAATTAAATAAGTAAACATTTAAAGAAAGAAGACTTTGTGGAGCAAAGTTAATCTTTGGATGTAAATACCTGACCCTCCAATGGACTGTAAGATCACATCAGTATGATCCATCACCAATTGTTCAAATCTACACAGGATCTGATTACACACAGCTCCTTATTTTTCTCTTTGTCCCATTTTTTGAATAATTTTTTTAAAATTTGGTATGCAGCAGTAGGTTTTCTGTTTTTTACAGGGTTTTTTTTTTTTTTGTTTTTGTGGGGGTGGGGGTTTGCTATTTTTGGTAGAGCACCTGGAGAATATCTTCATGTGAAATAAGAAAAAAACATTTTACCACATGCCTGATGTCCGATCTCATGGGAGACAATGTGAGAGATCATTGTCTTTTTTTCTGTTAGTTGGTCATCTGGTTGCAGCAACAATAATGACTCATCAAATATCAATAGTCCCCAATTTTCCATTGCACGGTTGTCAAAAGTAGGCAAGGCAATTATATCTAAGTTAATTTAAATGGAGGGAAAAATAGAAAGAAAATACAAGTGTGTATGAATAATCAGAGAAGACTTTAAAGACAAACACCAAAGACAGAAGCCAGACAATAAATTTCAGCTACATAAAAATCAATAATTTGGATAAAGGACTTGATCCAAAACATACAAAGATCTCTTAAAAGTCAACAATAAACAAATAAACAACTTCATAAATTTGGCAAAAGGCCAATATAGACACTTCACTAAAGAAGATATATAAATGAAAAATAAGCATATCAAAATGATGCTCAACACCTTATGTTACTCGGAAGTTTCAAATTAAAACAATAATGAAACAAAAACAATGAGATACCACTACACACCCATTAGGATGGCTAAAATCCAGAACACAACACCAAATGCAGGAGAAGATTTGGAGTAACAGGAATGCTCATTCATTGCTAGTGAGAATGCAAAATGGTACAGCCACTCTGGAAGAAAGTTTGGCTGTTTCTCATGAAGCTAAACATAGGCTGGCCATACAGTCCGGCACTTGAGCTCTTAGGTATTTACCCAAATTTATGTCCATACAAAAACTTGCACACAAATGTTTATTGCTTCTTTATTTGTAATTGCCAAAAATGGGAAGCAATCAAGATGTCCTTCAATGGGTGAATGGATAAACAAACTGTGGGACATCCATACAATACTGTATTGTTAAGTGATAAAAAGAAATGATTAGCTTTTCAAGCTATGAAAGGTTATGGAGAAACCTTAAATGTACATTACTAAGTGAAAGAAGCCAGTCTAAAACAGCTTCACATGGTATAATTCCAACTATACATCATTATAGAAAAGGCAAAACTATAGACAGTAGAAAGATCAGTGGTTTTCAGGGACTTGGGGGAGCAGGCAGGATGAATAGGTAGGGCACAGTGGATTTTTATGGTAGTGAAACTATTCTGTATGATGTTATAATGGTGTATACATGTATTATACATTCATCAAAACTCATAGAACTGTACAATGTAAAGTGAACCTTAATGTAAACTATGGACTTGAGTTAATAATAATGTATCGATATTGCTTTTTCATCAATTATAATAAATGTACCACACTAACGCAAGATGTTAGTAGCATAAACTGGAGGCAGGACAGGGGGACAGAGGAAGAGGCATATGGGAACTCTCTAAAAATAAAATATACTTAAAAATAAATATCTTAGTTTCCTAAAAGACACCATAAACAAATTTGAAAGGCAAACCACAAACTGGGATAAGTATTTGTAGCATACAAGGGGGGACCCAAAAAAACCCAGAATTTTCTGGAGGGCGGGCCCCTTGTGGTACAGGCTCCCCCTGCTGTGATCCAGGAATCCATCTGTATCAGTGCACCAGCTGTTGTTGTTGTGAGAGGCTGCATTCAGCTTCAGTAAATTTTTTTAAAGACCCTTTCAACGCATTTGCCCATTTCATGATGGGTGATTTATGAGCACACCTGCCCACACTGTGCTGCGTGTTCAGCAGTTTTTGACCAAAAACAGCATGTCTCCCATGCCCCACCTTCCTATTCACCTAATCTCGCCCCATGAGACTTTTTCTTTTTTATTTCTCCAGATGAAAAAAAATCCTCAAAGGGAAACATTTCGTCAGTGTGGAAGAGGTGAAACAAAAACTGGCAAAAACACTAACAGGCATCAAAATCAACAAGATCAAAAACTGTTTTGAGCAGTGGAAAAAATGTCTTGACAGGTATACTGCATCAAATGGAGAGTTCTTGAAGGTAACTGAAGTTTAAACATGTTAGAATAAATACACAATTTTTTATAAATAAATTCTGGGTTTTTGGGGTCCCCCCATCTATCAAAACCAGACAATATTTTTTTTCAGTAAAGGACTCTGACAAGTCAAAAAAACATATGAACAATTCATGCAAGAAATAAAATTTAAGCAGCTCAAAATCGTATTTAAGATGTTCAACTTCTTTACTTATCAAAAAGTAAAACAATGGTATATCTTAATCTTTCAAATGTATGAAAAGCTTAATAATTAGTAGGGCTTAGCATTAGTATTAACAATTAGTTATAAGAAAACTGACACATGACCTGCTGGTAAGGGTGTGAACTGGTACAGTTTTTCTGGAGCAATCTAACAGAATGCTTTATAATCTTTAGAAATGTTCCTACCCTTTGGTTAAATCACTCAACTTTTGGAATTTATATTCAGGCAAATAGCACAGGTATTTGTAAACATTTCCTTACAACGGTTTTCTTTAATGTTCTGAAAGTAGCCTCCCCCCTAAAAGTGGTAGAAGTCCTAATATTCAACCACTGAGGAGTAAATAAAGTATTTTGTCAAACTGATATGTAGGTATTCTATGTCTTAAAAATGACAATAAACAGAATATTTAGCTAACTAGATCACATCGCTACATATAAAAGAACAGTGTCAACTCCATGTTGTCATCTTTGTTAAAAATAAAGAAGCAAATATAGAGAAAGACAGAGATCTAGACTAAGACAAGCACTGGGACAGACAACAAGGTCAGCCACGGTTATATCTGTGTGGCGCATACAGGGGATTGTCCTTCTCTTTTTGTGCTTTTCCCCATTTTTCCAAATTTTCTACAGTGTGATCATTTATTATCTTTATAACTAGAACAAGAAAAGTTTTTGAATTTCTTTTGCTAATAGAAGAAATATTATAAGCCATGCTACATAGAACATTTGCCTGGTGAATGTTCTATGTTGTGCTATGCTCAATAATTTAAGTTGACTTTACGCAGGGTTGAAGTTGACAGTGTGTAGTAAAGAGTGTACCCAGGTCCTTACAGAGCTTCCATAGATAGTGCTCTATCATCTTGGGACAAACTTAGTTGCCTTAGCCTAGGTTTCCCATTCTTCTAACCTTTCTTTTCCTCCACGCACTCCCATCCCACCCACTGACTCATGTCATTGGAACAAAATACATTTACATGATACCCTCGCATTAGAGAGAAAAAACATTGAACAACTTTCTGAGCTGAATGGCTCACACAATTTTAAGAACATACTGCTTAGATCTGTAAGAGATAAATGTTTACATATTTCCTCAAGGATCATGTTATACTCACATATGATTCCAATTTTATATAACAAAAATTCACAGATGGGATCCTGAAGTCCTAATCTAGTGACGCACAGCTAAAGAATATTTTTTAAAAACCAACAAAGCCTTACCAAAGGGAACTGGACTAACTCCCACAGGCCTGCTAAAAGGATCCGGAATGCTGCCCTGCACACTCACATGATGACAGAAAGGGACAGGATGCAAGAGAGAAGGCAGGGTCTGGAGGGTATGAGGCTGCTCGTGAGTACCCAGCAGGGAGCTTTCTGAATACCTGCTGGGCACATGGGGCACCACACAAAGGCAGAGTGGACAGGATCCTATGTGTTCAGAAGGGGATGGAAGTAACTCCAAAATAGCAGCTAAATGGAGAGAATGTGTCCTTGGAGGCTCATCTGTATACACTTAACCTCAATTCAGAGCCCCCATGATAGGGAATCAACTCCATTGGAAGGGAAGGTGACTTACCTGTTTTTGGAAGAGGATAACTAATATTAAATAAATCTTCCAGAAAAGAGAAGATGGGACCTGTGATGTTCAAAGCAAAGTCTGCATTTCCACTAGCAATGGCATCTTTCCGGGCCCAGATGCGTATCTAAATCAAAACAATTAAGCAGTGATTAGGAAAAGCAGCCTGCTCGCTCCGATTCTCTGATACTCTAGAGCCAAAGTCACACTTTTTCAGAAGAAGCTACATAACAAAATGTTTAAGGGGATGTATGCATTAAGAAAAACCCAGAAGTCTCTTCACTAAGTCGTGAACAGTGGCTCCTCCAGGAAGTGTGTTATTTCAATCTTTGGCAATAACTATTGTATAATTATTGTAATCCAAAAGCAATATGTCTATCCTCACAGAAAATGTAGATTCTATGTCAAAGTAGATGGGCACGTTGGGCTCTTACTTCCCTATTCTGGACATATTTCCAATGTTCCACAATAGAGCTGTACAGTTAGTGAAGGTTATACAGTAAGGTACATATTAAACAATTTTGAATCATGACAATTTAAAATGGTTTGTTAATGAAAACATTAATATTCCCATCTTATTTTCAAAATTTGGAATACAGTTAATTTGCCTAATTTTAAAAAGTTCATCAAAAGTCTTACGATTTTACACTTATTGAAGCAAGTAAATTCTATTCTCTGTTTATGAGGTTTCCACTCTAGTAGGTCAAAAGAAATCCCTACATTAAACTAATGCTGTTGTTTGGGCTCTTGGAAGTTATTTGCATGATTTTGGTGACTTCTGTAATTTGCTGTTGCTTTTTCATTATTACTTTAATATGAATTATTTTATACTCCCAAACAATGCCTTCTAAGCATTTGTAATGGAGTTGCTAGTGTTAATGCTAAAGAACATGCATGAAACTCAATAACCCTGGAAGGGAAGTTAGAGGGAGATATTGGAATTAAAATAATTGCCCTGAAGTGAGTACAGTAAATTTGAGAAAGAGCTCTCTGCAAAACATTACAGAAAATGCTAAGGAAATGAAAAACAGCACAACAATATTTGCAGGCTGTTGCACTTCAAGAACATAGTCACCTTATTTTGCTTCCATTTCTGCTAGAAAAGGTGGTCTTGAATTATGTGAATTTTGAATTATGTGAAGTCTTCAGAAATGCTCCTCTTTCACAAAATGCAACCACCTGTTTTTGAAGCCTCCCGAGTTGATCCCCTCATTCCTTCTTCCAACCTTCCCTGTGCTGCAGAGGCCTCATTACCCTGGGAAAGAGGGGCCCAGGCCCCAGCCCCACACCCACAATACAATTACCTTCCCCAACTCTACTTCTAATTTCTGAGGTGACAGGAAGGCTGCTAAAACAAAGCCCACACTACTGAATGGAAAGAATAGGCTCCTTTCCCCACACTTGAGATATCAATGCATTTTAATTCACTTGATTATTTGAAAAATAAAGGCAATAACAAAGTCTGCATGTCAAGTTCCAATTTATAAAGCTCCTCCCATAAACTACTCTTCTATAAACCAAAATGCAGGCAAATAATGGAGATTTCAAGTTGGGTGGAAGGGGTGGGTGGCCCCTACTAGGGCAGCAAGGAGCATTTGGAGGTGCGGCCATGAAGCTCCTTCAAACCCACACCCAGCCCGCCAGTGTGCTCCTGTGCTCCTCCTGAGACACAGCTGACCTCAACATCTAAAAGAGAGGAATATCTACACACATACCCATGTGTGCTAAATTCTACACAAATATGTTATTTCCAACCTTAGTTTTGTGTTTCCTATGTTTATCCTCATGCCACACATTAATCGCATTTCACTAAATTTTCTCCTACTTAATGAGCAATTTTTATATAGTCTGGATGTTATTCCAAGAGTGCATTCTAGTTCCCCTGTAGAGTATACGGTGGACTCCTTCATTTTGTAGAGCTGAGCCTTAGCCAAATGCAACATTCCACTGATAAACTAATCCCATCTCAATTTTCTGGCTAACAGCATTACTTTCTTAGGCATCTTCCATTGCCCTTCTGCTTTTATAACAGTTGGCTTTCTTTTCAGGGTGATCTTTCACTGAGAAACATATTTGATCTTTTTACAAGAATTGTTCATGTGCAGTAGTCTTGATAGCAACAAGCCACTTGAGATGTGGATGTTGACGGATCACCTTGGGTCACTCATGAACTCTGCGGCCCACTTCTTCATGCCAGGCACAATGCATGTGCTTTCAAACCATGCCTGAGTATATTTATCAATATACAGGGTCTGGCAGAAGTAACGCCTGCTGAAGTATGGTTGGTAGGATAATAATATGGGTGTAATAATTTATAGTTTTAATTTGAACATGTCACCTAAAATGTCATACAGTGTGCTTAAGTGTGATAGTTATGTTACAGAATTACATGCTTATGATTTTGTAACAAAAGATTTTGTAATAAAAGAGGGGTGTTGTTTGTGCAGGACCCTGTATATGTCATGAATGTTTGACTTGGCCATTGTTACATCTGTGAATATCACGGATTTACTAGTGATTATTCAATGAGGAAAAACAGGCTGGAGCCAACAGCTAAGGAAGATAACGAGCCACTGTTTGCATCCAGCACAGTATTTTTAATTCATCATTAGGTCAGGAGTTCAGGAAGAGTAACTTTGTGTGATTCTCCCCAATGGCAGACTTGGCTCATCCACAGCTTCCTTGTCTCCACAAGTAGAAGACAAAGTAAGAGCCTAGAGGATCTTGGGCCCAAGAGAGAGCCTCAGCCAGCTGTAGAATCTAATCTCCCTCAGCCCTGTGAAGTCAACCTGACCAGAAAGAGCTGGGACTACAGCAGTGGCCTGCCTATATCCACACCCTAGCATAGGGAGTGAGCCAGCATACAAAGTACTGGCACAATCATCTGGATATTTTCCTAAAGGATTTCTATGTAATGAGGATATAATTGGGTGAAAACTAGGTTTTTCAGGGCAGAGCACCTGCTTTATGCAAGTCTGGGGAAGTGCTGCATGCCCCAGAGCCAAGGAACCCAGTGGCCCTGCTTCTCAGTAGGGATGATATTTAACCTGTCCCACTTCAGCCACAGCACTTGTTCCTTGCTGGTGTTTGTTTTGGTTGTCTGGTGCTCACGCCACACTGGTTCCTAGACATTTTGAGTGCCATCCAGCTTCAAGGCTGCATTAACATTGCAGGTGAAGTAAACAACAGGCAGACCGCAGCTTCAAGGTGCTAGGTGCACATCAGCTTTCCCCCTTCTCTTTTGTCGTCTGAAAGGCAGCAACAGCCTGGGAAGAGGGGGCTCAGAAGCTGCCTTGAGCAGGCTTAATGTGTGGCCTCCCGTGGAAACCCCTCCCCAAAGCTACAGAACTTGTGTCTCATTCCTCAAAGCCGCATGAAGAGCTTTAAAGGGTCTTGGAGAAGGTCAGAGTGAGAACCAGGAGATGATGGCGGGATAGGTAGCCATAATCCCTGGACACAGAAAGCGTGGATGAACAATCTGCAGCCAGTACAAATGTACCCTTACCTGGAGAATCTTCCTTACTCACCTCCTTGCCCCTTTCAGTTCTGTTGACATGGTCATAGTCACATATAACAAATGCGGCTAAATAAGTTGGCATGTGGGGTGTGGTGTAAAAGGTGGTAACAGTCCATTTGTTTCCATTCACATCTTCTTTTTCTGACTGACCTGGAGAAATTTACTTTAGTCCAAATCACTATAAACCTAAGCAATAATATCTACCTTTAAATTAATTTGTCAATTTGATTGTCACCCGGCTACTTCTTCCTAGCTATTCCCCATAGTCTAGCAGTTTGGATTTCTCTACCCCTAAGCTATCAAAACCACATTAGGAAGATCTAAGGACAGTGTCTTGGTCCTGAAGTACTATGAGCAACACAGTCTTAACCGAGGGCCACATCCATGAGCACTGTCAGTTAGGCCCATGCTCTGCCTCCTCTCTTTTCCGTCCATTTCTACTGTTTCCTGGTCCAGCTCATTTCTCAGAACACTTAATCTAGAGCTTCCCAGGCCCATGGTAGGTCAACAAGATACAATTCTGCCCATCTCAGGTTTCAACTAGGTCTTCAGTGGAGACAGGCTGGGGTCTTTAACCTGAGATCACAAATTCAAATGCCTGCAAGGGCCAGGTAAACACCTGATGTGAAAATGGTCACTGTGCACTAACAGGGACTGGCCGGATCATGGCAGGCTAGGGAACACAGGCCCGGTCCTCAGGTGGCAGCCTTTTTTCCCAGCTGTAACTATTGCTGTTATAAGGACCACAGGTCCATTGTTGTTAGATCTCTTAAGTTTTCAAGGAAGGAAGAATTTTGATTTTTATGAGAAATCTCTGGATTTTTAAAAGTTAGATCCTAATTCAATCAAAAGAAGAGAGTCCTGGGAGCCAAAGAAAACATCTTTTTTGCACCAGATTCAGGCTAAGACCACTAGCTTATTATCACTTATGATTAGTAGTTGAAGCCCAAACTAATGCGCAGACAGGCTGCCAATATATAAGAACAGTATAATGTTCCCAGCTTCTACTACAAAAAGAAACAGGAATCAAGACAGGGAAACAACCTAGGTATCCTTCAACGGATGACTGGATAAAGAAGATGTGGTACATATCTACATGATAGAATACTACTCAGCCATGAAAAATGGTGAAATATTGCCATTTGATACAACATGGATGGATCTTGAGAGTACCATACTAAGTGAAATAAGTCAGACAGAAAAGGACAAGAACCATATGATTTTACTTATATGTGGGATAGAAAATGGAAAGCAGCAAACAAACTCATACACATAGGCAACAGTATGGTGGTTACCAGAGGGGAGGCAGGTATGAAAAGGACGAAGAGGGTAAAGGGGGTCAAATATATAGTGACACAAGTAGACTAGACTTTGGGTGGTGAGCACACAATGCAATAAATAGATGATGTATCATAAAACTGTATATGTTATTAACCAATGTTATCCCACTAAATTTAACTTTATAAAAAGGAACAGGATTTATCACCTCAAAGATTTGGTGCTGCCACATACCCCATGTGACTGCTCTCCCTAATTATAATACACTATCAACACATTTCTTAGAAAAGCTATTGATCTAGAGATTATTACACAGTTAAATATAGGTCTGTCCAGGAGGTATCCAGCCATATAATATGAAAAATAAACACTTATTGAATAAGATAAGAGATATAAGAAACATTGTATATATGACAATGATGCCCCAGTCCCCTGCAAAATAGGCACTTTGGGATCTCATGTAGTTCTCCCAATCGTCATCAGCTGCCTCATTGTATTTTCCTGAATCTCACTGATGGTCTGAAATCTCTTCCCCTTTGAAGGTGATTTTAGTTTCAGAAAAAGCCAAAAGTTGCAGGATGCCAAATCTGGGCTGTAAAGGGGACTGAGTCACCTGGGTGATTTGATGTTTCCCAAAAGAACTCTGTAGGAGACATGATGCATGAGCAGCCGCATTGTCACGATGAAGGTGCCAATCACCAGTTGCCCAGAGCTGCAGCCCTCTGAATCAACCTAATAGTTTCCCTGGAGGAATGTTCAAGCTTAATGCAAAATTTGATGCAGATTCGTTGCTCTACTTACTCAGTCATTTTCAATATGACGGCCACATGGTACACATGCCCACTCAACATCATCTACCGCCCCCACTAACTAGTACAGTGAAGTTGTCATTGTTCACACATGCGAATTCTAGTCCACTCTCCTTGGCTGCCAGGTTACATCGATGTCATGCAAACCGTTCTTGTTATATTAACTATAGCTGGACTTCTTCTGGACAGGCTTCATATAAACACATATGAAATTAATATATGTATATACAGATATATATGTGATGACAGAAAACATTACTTACGTAGCTTTGGCATGTTGGAAAGAGCCACATAACGTGGATGATGAATAATTGTAATATTAAAAGTTGCCTTCAGAGCTGGTTCATCAAAGCAAGGGAAAACATTCCTGGCAAATGTTGGTTCCATCTGAGATGCTAACAGGGCCCTAAAATACATTTTTGGGAAAAATCTATTTATTTTTATCTCAAACCAGTGGAAGAAAAAAAATACTGAGGGATTATGACTTATAATTACATGCAGGAAGGAGCTAGAATGGTTTCCCCTCGTCTTCCTTGCTGCCCTCCCCATAACAAACACACACAGTCCAATTCTCACAAGACCTAAAATACAACAGAACTATTTAATTTTCAACCACAAAATAATATTTACTTCATTACATCATGTGCCTTTAAAACCTTTTGCAAACAAAATAGGAACAAATGTAAACGATATGCAATGCCAGGCTTTTAAAAACCAAGTATTTTTAAAAATAAGATTACTACTTCAGGAATAATCTGTTGCTTTTATCTTCCATCAAAATGCAAGTCAGATGAAGAATCTCTACATTTTTATCTTTTGCTCATATATTCCCTCTTCTTCGTGGTTGACACAAAATGTTTTATTTTTCACATTATTAGGGGGTAAACAAAGTGGGTGAATGCCACTGAACAAAACAGGTTTTATTTTACTTCTTGAATTGCCTTATATATGGGTAGATTTATCGAATCCCTGCTGCTTCTTCCTCCAACCTCCATGGAAAAATACAAAAAGTGACATTATCCCACTGTGTACTGGTGATTTTTAGGAAAAGCTTAGGGACAAGAGAAGCTTGAGCAAACAAGGAGATGGTCAGGTTCACCCTCTGTAAAAACTGCCTGAGTCTCACAAGAGATGGGTCCTAGCAAACAACTTTGTCCTCAAAGTAAACTTGTAGTCTCCTTATCCCATTTTCCAAGACTCCTTGACTTGGGAACCTGCTTTTAGATGACAATCGTGGCGGCTAAATTCCTTTGGTTCCCCTCAGAGCCTGAGACTTAACCTCTCTGATGTGTTTACTCTTGCTTCAGTCCCAGTTCTTAAATAAAGGGAAGGTGAATTCAACAAAGATACCTTTAGAGAGCACCGCCTCTCCATTACCTGTGGCTGTGGGTTCCCCCTCTGCCAGGACAAGGCCCCTGCTCACAGAGAAACTCACACAGCTTTAGGAAGGACACACAGAACAGTTGGCATGTTCAAAAACTGCTCACAGTCAGCTCATTTGATGTGTTCATAACCTACGACAAAAACACAATTTTCAACAGCCTACCTTGCCCTATTTGCTTTTTCCCACTTTATTATACTCCTGCTCACATGGACTGGAATTAGGCCTACAGACTCTGACACTAGCAACTTTAGCTGCAAGTCTCTGCTCCATTTGCTATCAACTGAGCAATCCTGAACAAGTCACATATTCTTGCTGAGGCTCAGTTTCCCTATTTAAAAAAATAATGACACTACCTACCTTTTATTGTTGTTTGAGTTTTTATATTATTAGTAACTAAACTTACCAACAAATGACCTTTGAATTATTTTATATTCCTTTCAATCTCATAAATTGTTTTTGATATAAATGAACTACAGAAGAATTCAATGAGGAATAAGTTATAGGATAGAGGTGGAAGGCTGAAAATCACCAATTACAAATGCATTTTCAAAGGTTCCAGAGGTCACAGTTGATCACAAGCTGATTATGAACCATGTCTGTCTCCCCAATAAATTTTAAACTATGAGAAATTAGGGGTTAAGTATTTTTCCTTCTGTGTTATTTATAATACTTAGCAAAAATATGAGTTCATAGCAATTGAATAAGTATTTTCTCAGCTTTGGAGGTACTATAAAATAAAGGCAGCTTGATATTCATATGTACAAAGACTATAAAGTATTTCTGCAGAGTCTGTGACAGTGGCATTTGTTTGTTTTGTAGCATTGGTTGCTATCTTTAAAAGGGATGGGATAAAGTAGAGAAGATTCAAGCAACTGAAAATCTAGTGGAAGAATATCGAGCAGGGAATTCAGAGACCTGAGCCCTGGCTCAGGGTCTGGAATGTAAATGCAGTGGTGTAACTGTGGGGAAGTTGCTTAAACTCTTTGGGCATCCATTTCTATAAAATGCACAGATGGGACTAGATGATCTCTAAGTCCATTTAGAGCTTGAAAACGGATTCTCACAGGGTTCAAGACATCCAACAGGATGGAAAAAGAGGCCGTCTAGGGCAGGGAGAAACTGCCCAAGGCAAGCTCATGCATGCGCTTCAGGGGATCTCTGAGTTCCCTGAAACTGTGGGACATTTTGTACCAAGAGCGATATATTAGCATGAAAAGGAATAATGTAGAGTGAAAAAACACACCCAGTTATATAATACATACTCATATATTTCGAAAGCCAAAAAAAGCCTATTGTTTGTGTAGCAGAAACTATAGGAAGTAAAGCTTGATAACATCTTCTCTGCTGCCATGACTTTGGGAAACACATAAATCTCAAGGAGGTTCAAGGTGGGGAGGAGGGAGAAAATCAGACTCTCTGAGGAGATGGGAAACTTTTATGCTCATCAAAATGGGTTACAGGTTCAAAAAGGCTGAGGAGATGCCAGCTGAGAGTCACTACTTTAACAAATCAAACATCAAGCAAGTGCCTTTCAATTTCATGGTTCAGATCTCCAGGGAACTGAAATTAAAGAAATCCACTTGGATTTCACTAACAATTTCCCTCCCTGGTTTTATACAAACAAAATGGGAAAAAAAAATCCCTACAATACTGAGTCTTTCTGGCTCTCAATCATAACTTCAAAGGTCAGAGCCAACCAGCAACACATACGAATTTGTTATGCCACATCTGGGGACCAAAGACTGGTATTTAGTTCCCTTCTTTGGACTCAAGCAATCCTGCAAAGATATCCTGACCTCAGAAAATAGAACCATCCACCACCCTCTCCTCCCTTGAAACCTCACTGAAACATGCTATTATGGTGCCCATGAAGTCTGGGTTTAGAGTGCTCAGCTGGTGAGGGAGTTAATTTGGGAGAATTTGTCTCCAAACAGCTCAGTATTGCAAAGCCACTGTCTTTCCTGCCCTCTTGTACAGCCAGAGAATCACGGACTCACCACTTTCTTGTGCTAGAAGAGGTCTTGGTGGTCAAGGCCACTGGATGCCATGGGTGTAAATCTACTACCATATAAAAAAATATCCACTCAGTAAGGTATTCTATTCCAAATTATTTTATGAACTCCGTATGTCTACAGCTCTAGTTTATAAGTGCCAAATAACAGTTGGTGAAAGATTAAATATGACTCTTTGCAGAGTTGTCCCCAATTTTTTTTTTTACATGACACACTCAGAAATCAAAATATTTAGTAAAGGCAAATGTTATGCCACTGGACTGTGGCTCAAGGATTGGCCCATGAATCATGTTTGTTTATAACTTGTGTAATAAGATCTGAAAACTGAAGTTTCCACCAGGCAACAAAACATAATAGATGTAAAATTCCAAAGAAAAGTGCCAAACCATGTTATGAAGATTTTCAAAGTAAATAGTCTCAAGAACCTGTGGGCTCCTCTTGGACTTCTCAGCTACATCAAGGACAGAAAAGAGCTGTCAGGAAATGGAGATCAAAAAGATTAGAGAGGAGATTTCTTGAGGGGGAGGTGGCTGCTATTTTCCCAAGCCTTCCGGCTTTCAGGTTGTTGAAAGGAGATGCAACACTCCAACCCCGTGCTAAGGGGACAAGATTCCTTGGAGAGTAGTAGATGTGTTTTCTGAGACTGAGACTTAGAGGCTGATGCCCAACTGAGTCTCAAGAAAGTTGAATTTGACAATGGCCAGAGTCTGACTGCTACCACCTGGGAATCTGAAAGGTAAGAGAACTGACTGCTTTGGAAGCAGAACCAAAACTCACTGCCCTGCAACCCGTGTCAGTTCTGGGCAAGGGATGCATGAATGTTCCTTGGAAGAGCTGCGGGCCCTGAAACACAAAATGACAAAATTAACCATTATGGGAACTTTCTTAAGTTCTGTCCAATAGAGCCACCTGGAGGAGCTTGGATAGGCACTATTCAATGTCTAGGGGTTGAGGAAGGAGTCACAAGTGACCATCAGAACAGAAAAATAAGAAAAACATCAAGTAGGGTCAAGGGAATTGTAGGAGAAAGAAAAACAGTGAGAAAACCCTGAAGAGTCTGGGAAAATAATATCTCAAGGGAAAAAGGAATCTATTAGACCCAAGTGAGATTAAATGGCAAGAGTACTGGTTTAAGGAAAAACTACCCTGTGTGTTACCCCTCCCTTTTTCCCCCAGTCCCACTGGACCTGGGGGAGGTTGAGACAGCAGCTCTCAGGATGGAAGTGGAGGACTAGAAACATGAGGTGGAGAAATGGAAGGACCACTGCCCACGACCTTACTATAGGTTTCCACCTAAAGCTAGCCCAAACTGGGAGAAGTGAGGGTGTGCAGTCAAAGAAGGAGCTTTAAAGGTAAATTAAGTTCAAAGTATCAGGCAGGACTGGATTTTCTAATTTCTGCACCTGGACAATGTTTGTGACTTAGTGACCTCAGATCATCTGCCACCTAAGAATGAGCAGGAAATTACAGATCAATAGAGTATTCATGCAGGATTACCCTGGCCACTAATTGTAAAAGGACAGTGGAACAAACACAGCAATATTGTCTACTGAACCATGAGGTGTGCTTTTTCAATATGCTGGTTACACTGGTTTTCAAAAGATATAGAATCTAAATCTTTGATGAGAAAACTGCTCAGCCACATGAAGTGTGTGGGTTCAACACCTCTTTAGAACATTGAAATAACCTCTTTTCTCTGTGACACCAACAATATCATGTGCCTGGCCCTTGAGTGTGCAGACCTTGTTTTGAGATTTCTCAATTCTTTCCTAATATTACTCAAATTTCTCTCTTGTGAGTCATACCATGAGGTCTGTGCCAGATTTCCTAGCATAAACAGCGACTGGAAGGAAGTCTTTCAATTTGCTGTACACTCTTTCTACACCTGCATGGATTGATTGATTTTGATCATACTGCTCTCACCTTAATTTGTCCAAAATAAAGATCCCAGTTTTCTCCAGCCATTTCACACTAGCAAGCTGCTCCTGCTCCTTTGCTCCTGCTCCTTTG